AATTCAGGGAGAGGGTGTGTTCTTCTGTTTTGCTTGCTCAGCTTTGTGATTGGTCAGAAAACTCATACCATCATCTTAGCGAAACAGATGCAACTCCGATACCAATCGTGACTTGCCTACACTGATTTTCACGTGCTTCAGGCAGTTCGATTGATTTCACCTATCGATTCCACCGGCTCCTGATGATGTCTACCTTTGTCCTGATTGGTCGTAATTACTTTAACAACACCCAATAGATATGGGTTCTAACGCTCAGCACACATCAGGTCAAACTTAGAGGATAAGCCGAGTAGGCTCCATCGGCCATTACAAAGTATACAGGCATGGATTTCTCACAATGACTGCGTAATTTCAAGTACATTTCCTCTTTTAAGTTATACTGTTGGCTTCACTTTAGATCCCTGATTTCTTACCGAGGTAATTACTTGATGACTGCCTCATTTTGAAAGAAACGTCGTAAGCACCAATGAGAAGTCTTTGAACGACATCTGCATTTTCAAGACCTAGAATTAAAGAAACAAAATGAAAAAGGTGTTATTCGCTAATCATTCGTAATTTTACTGAGGTTTTATGCACTGTTGTGTACTTTCGGCAAATGGTAAAGAGGCGATAAAAATCTTAACTTTGCCTTGTTAATGTTAAAGCTCTGAGACATAAGAGAATAATAGTAAAACAAAGAGCAAGGAAACAGAGAATCAAACAAACTCGAGTGAAATCATAGACTACCGAAGCAGATATACAACACTTATCAAACTAGTACAATCAAATATTCGTCTTATCCATAATATTTTATCTAAAAACGTGCGAGTTAATCGCGCGTCAAAGCCACATACCTAATATTAGTCATATCTCTATTTTCACAGCAAAGTAAGGCGCCTAACTCCTCTTTAGTGTCCCTTTATTTACATAACTATGACGCAATCAACAAGAACTGTCCTATTGGGCTATGAACTGTACCTTTTTTACAGTAACTTCTAGAAATAACGAAGCATTGGTCCCCATTGCCGCCACATTTGCCACAGCGATCCACCATTGCGTTGGAGTCCAGAACGTGATCACAGCCAACCGGCTATTTAGTCAAGTGACATTTCAAAACCATAATTACCCGACATCCTTAAATGCATTTTCATGACAGAGTGAAAAACATTACAAATTTTCAAAATATCTTAGATCATTCACTTCCTGGAGTGACTCACAAAGATTTTCTCCTCAAAATGCCAAAAGGTTTTCGATAAAAAGAAAGGGTAACGAGATGAGAGGACTGCGAAATATAGCTTGATTTGAAAATAATTTATTGGAGCTGAAGTATGTTTGTTTGTATGTTAGGTTTCTTTTAGAACTTCATTCATAATTCAACTTAACCCTTTAGCTCCCAAGATCTTGATAGTAATTCTCCTTACTGTCTGCCATATAGTTCTTGTGATGTTAGTTTGGAGAATTTGGTACTGGCTCAACTAATTACCCTTCGTTAAAATTGTTTTTTATTCTCATCACTTGTCTGCTTGATATTGTATTGATATTCACGGGAGTTAAAGGGTTTTTAAAATATTATCCATTCTGAGCAATCCTTAAAGATAAACAGTTTTGCGGGTAGCAAAATTGTAACATTCTCTGACAATTCTGAAGACGAAGTAAAGTTGGTATCAGAACACTATTTTGTAAGCCATAGTAGCCATAGTAGGCAAACAAACTTTCCATAAATCGCTTAGATAAATTTGTGAACAGATCTCTTCAAACCAGAAAAAATAGATACAAGTAATTTTTTTGCAATATCATCTCAAGTAACTTACTCGGGATTTTCCTTCTGAATGAGTTTATTGAGGTTTTCATTCCAGAACGAAACACTGATTCTGGACGACCTGAATAAAGTAAACGCGATACGACACTCATATCTGTATAAATCCTCTTTAGGAGCGAGGGAAGCATAGAAAAAGGACGTAAATACTTGTCTTTACAAGCTAAATTATCTTGCATGTAAACGCGGTATGAAATTCATTTCGTTCCGAACGAAATCCATTTTGGAATAATGTAAAAGGTACCTTAGGGACGGGCCACCAGATTTTTTTTATGCAGGAGGGGGTCTTTTGCCAATTGCACAATGTGTTTTCTTCCATTAAGCCTGTGCTCGATTTTTTCAGGGGGTTATTGCCCAACACCCAACACCCCAACACCCCCCCCCACCCCTTTGCATCAAAGTTTAATGGTCCGTCCCTAATATGCTATCAGGTCATTTTCAGCCTACTTGGTCGGACACCTTGAAAAAAAAGGATGACAGGCAAGCAGTTTACAGCAAATTTTACATGAAAATAATTCTGATGTCTCTTTGAAAATAAAAAAAGCTTGAACAGTTGACATCGCAAGATCTTTGGCTGTGTTGCATAAGAATACTTAATGCACTAGAAGTGCACACATCGAGTTCTGGATGCACTTGAATAGTCTGTTTAACAACTGCAGACGTACAGTTATTTTAATCCCTACCAAATTATGTCAATACGAACAAAACAAACGAAAGGACAGCCGTCCTGCCTCGAAGCAGGACAGATTTTGACAGAAATCTGACAGATCAGTGCCTGAAAGTTTTTATACGTAAATAACCAGTTCACGTGAATTTTACGAGGTGAGACTGACAGCTCGTAGTTGGCAAATCACATCTATTGTTTTAGGTGCTGACAGGGTTGGTGGGGTAGGGGGGGGAGGAGGCGATCGGAAATGAGTGAGGATGCTTGTCGTACCTTTTACGGAGTGGACTACCAGAGACTCAGCTGGTACCTTTTAAGGTGTTTTTCGCTCAATGAAATACCTGAAATAAGCATTACTAGGAAGATTTTAATGACCTTACTTGAGCTTCTGGAGCACATCGATAAAAGAGTTTTTATTTTTGGGATTGTTCAATTTTTTTTGTGTTTAAATTGGTACTTTTAGGGGTCGATATCAGTTGTTACCACTCCCACACGGATAAGACTCAGGTACCTTTTATAACTTTATAGGGTCGTTTACGAAATTCCCGGCGCGCATCCTCGCCCTCTTATGTATAGGGGTTCCCCGAGGGGGGGGGTGCTGATACGTTCAGCACACTTGAAATTTAGCAAGGACAAATTTTGATGTGATTTTCGATGAAGAGAAAAAATTTTGTCAGCGTCTTGTAGCTACTGCGTAAGGGCCCTTTACCACTGTGTGCTTAATTACGCCTTCCGCCAGACGGCGGGAAGCCTACAAGGTGCTCAGACATTAGTGTAGAAAACTCCGCCTCTGGATTTTTGGTAGCCCATTAACCAATTCCCAATCGAGGCCTAAGTCTGACGGGACGCGCAATTTTGCACAAGGTGGTAAGTAGCCAGGTTATATGAATTTTCCAGACGTCTTGCTTGCTATCTGTGGTACACGCTTGTCAATTCCCCAATAGGCATTTGGAATCGACTTAACCCTACCTTTACTATGGCCGTACACTTCTTTAGGCACTATATATCTACTAATGGAACCACGAATCCACCCAACACTGTTACCTAGATTTGATCTATGAGTAGGGCAAATTGTAAAATCATCGATATCTTTTGGCTGCTCGAAGATGCCGGCTCGCGACAAAATAAGATCAACTTCAGTTTCTGGATCTCCGCAAGTAACTTGAAATGTCTTTTTTACAACTAAGCAAGGTAACGACCTGAGATATGCAACGTCGGTCTTCTCGATAACTATACCCAAAAGTCCCACCAGCGAACGATTTAAATGAACAGCAAATCTCCTTGTTAGCATGTAAGATGAGACGCTTATACAACAGATCAATTAACTAAATCAGTATGTAGCTTGCCACTCGCATTGACTTTTGTAAACATTCTCTGACTTCCGCCTGCAAAGGAATCATTGATGAGCCTGAACGTTTTAGTTTTCTGAATACAGTAATTCTTGGAAGGTTTTTATAGATATGAAAAGAGGGGGAAAAAACCCACCTCTAGGTAATTCGGAGGTTGATTCATCTTTGAATTTATATGTGTCACGCTTGTCATGCAACTAATAAAATAATATGGGGAAGATTTATAAACTGCAAATTAAATCTGGCTAAAATGTGGTAGAGCATAACTTGATCATCGAAACAGCTAATAATGTGATAAATAAACAAGGTAAGAGTGTCATGTTAGATTTCTTTACAAAATGTAGTGATTTATGCCAGTAAACGGTGGCGACAAGTAGGCACACGATGTATATTTCATAGTCGCTTGCAAGTAAATTTTGCCGGACTTTGAGTTCGTCTCACGATAGAACAACACATATACACAAAGAACTTTTTACAGTAACTTTATAACCATCCTTCTGTCTTTTAAAAGCTAGAAGCTCAGTAGATTCTGCCATATCGGTCATTGTTAAAACTGTCTTTGTTTTGGCGCTACTTTTCGACATAGAAAAAGTATGTGGGGCAAAAATATTCACCAAAGAATAAATGTATCTTTGCCAGCTTCAATAATAACAGGGGATTAAGTTTAGATGATAAAACAAAGGATTATGCCGATAGAAATACCGGAGGTCAGTAAATTCGTTACATGAGGTCACACAACTCGGGTAATATTCAGGGTGAAAATTTTCATATTTGAGCGGTCGAACGAAAAAACTCATTTCTCAAAAACTAAAATATATTTTCCCCAAAAAAACACATCACAATTATTAGGACATATTGGGCTACAAAATATGAAAGTAGGAAAGAAAACGAATTTGGGCGACTTGCCACTGTTTGTCTGATGCATGCTGACATTAGCTCTTGAATGTCTTAGCGCGCGCGCGCGCCAATTGCACCTAACGCCAGTCCGGTACTTTCTTCTTAACACTCGGAGTTTGAACAACGACTGAGTGTCTGGGAAAAAGGGTAGAAAGGTAGTACTTTTATTGCGACTTTCTCGGTGACGTCTCTGCTCATTATTGAACTCAGTATAAGTTAGGCCTGGCTCAGATCATTATGATGGAAATCAAGAACATAAACATGATTTCTAGACAACGACTGTCTTTATTTCAATTTGCATCCTATCTATTCTAACATTGCTTATACAAAATAATCTAAATTACATTTTTTTTTTATAATTAAAGAATATTATTGATCAAATAAAAACTTGTGTGGTCATTTTATTTATAATAAACATGGTTTTTTTAAAATGACCTCTAGGTTAATTATATTTCAGCATACTTCATTTTGAAATAATCGTCCTATAGCAGTTTGAATCAACTATCAAATAGTGAAAGTCAGTCATACACATCCTAAATAATAAGCTATTATTTTTCCTCAATCCGAATCAGAGAGAGTTTTCCCTTGACATCTGTCGTCCTGCTTTAAAAAAACTAGATAAAAGTTATTATACTAAAACGGTTTTATACTAAAAGTTGTTATACTGAAACTCAGTTTAACTCTCGTTGAGACCTAGTAGCTTTATTATCCCGGCAAAACCTGCTGACGGATTATTTCAGGAAATATAAAGATCATTTCAGGAAATAATTTTGTTGTATGCTGTTCATTTTAGCTGAGATGCTAGTAGACAGACGTCAGTAAATGTCACTTATCCTAAATTATAATACTCCAGCAAAATCTGAAGCACAGGAACCAATACGCTGGTAAATATTGCATTTTGATGTCGATATGATTGTGAACCGTTTTTGTCGACGGAGGCTGTGGGGTCTGTGGGGGCTGCGGTATGTTCCTTGCCTTGTTCCGTGGGGCTTGATGTAGTTGTACATGGGAGACGTGTCGGCTTGGCTCTGTACCTACATAAAAGATTCGGAACCATGGCTTTTTGGCCAAAGTGATCCAATCGGTAACAAGAGAGCGTCGTTGGATCAATTGGCTCCCCGCATTTGTCTTTCTGTAAAGTTAGAGGAAAGATAGAGGCCGTTTGGTAAGAGTGAGTGTTGTAGCGAGGGGAGAAATCATACGGCCAAAGTGAAAAATGGAAGCTTAACGAAAATTTAACCAAAGCGAAGAACAAAACAACTGGTGTAGCCGGCCGGCTGAGGCTGGAGCAAGTGATCCTGGGATTGCCTTCACCCTACACTAAGGGCACAAGGCAGACCAACAGAAAAAAACATGAGAGTAACCGTGAATCGATGAAAGGGGAAGAAAGAAGAGGCAAACTCAACCCTGGTCCAGCGGACACTGAGACCTCAAACTAACACCTTCCAAAGACATCTAACTATTACGAAAAGCCCCCACTGTTGTACGCTTTAGTCATATGCGATCAATTTGGATTGACTAAAATTGTTGTCAGGAAATAAACTTCTCACAAAATGTATGAAGGAATGTTACAAACTGCTCCTCATTCATAATTTTGCAGCAACTGACTGCTAGCTGACAGTATTGAAGCAAGACAGTAATGGATCTTTATAAGACTTTCAGAACACCCTAAAAAGTAAAACGAGAACGCAACGGAATACAAATATCTAAAAAGCAATAGCTCTCCACGTCCTTGCATTAAAACTTTGTACATTTTCAAACAATTTGAGCAAGATAAGAAGAAAAATCACAAAATTTTTCCGAGCCTGAGGTTAGGAACCCCTAAGGAAAATCGTTCAAGTTTTTACTTGACGTCCCATTGACATATAATGCTGAAAGGGAGTTGTGGTGACGTTAGAGAAGTTCAACACATAGAGCTACTCTCGTGATTCTTAAGAGAAATAAACGTTCATTTTCAGGATGCCTTTTAACTTGACGTCACCGTCATAATATCTCACTTCCTAATGCACAAAATTGAAAATCATCGATTGAAAGACCCTCTAAAAATAGGGGGTACTTACCAGTAACCCCTCTTGAGTGTCCCAATCAGCCAGGCAATCGATGCTGTTACAATATCGAACCTTCTCAGAAATGCTGGGTTTTTGATCAGCGGGACAGTTTGTGCTTGGTCCATAATCTGTAGGGTTGATCTTCTTACGGCAGATGACACCGCGTGTCTGCAACCCATTGCCACATGATCTGGAGCATGTTGACCAATCAGTGGTGTGCCATCTGAAAGCAAAAATCCTCAAGTTACTTATATTGTCAATAAAACACAAGACCGCGGCGCTCAGACTTCTCTTTCTACGTCAAAAGCCGAACGACTGCAGGTTAATCTATCGCAATGGATTATTCACGGCAACGGAAAGATCTACGTATTCAAAATTTATATCTCTGATCGATTCTGATCGATGTAATACTGAGCAGACTCCCAAAATACCTTCTACCCAGAAAATGTATAGATGCCGTGCAACAGCACCCTCTCTCATCCATTGAAGAACGCCTCTGAAAGCGTTAGCCAAAAGTTAGACTCAACCCAAACTCACGTTAGTGAGAAGTAGACCATTAGCTTTGTATTTAACTCAGTAATCGATTGTCAAAGAAATGTATTGCTCTTACTCCGAGGGACAGTCCTTGACCTGGCATGATTCACTTGTAATTTTTGCTCCACAGGCTTCATCGCTGGCGGGTGTTTTGTCATCTGACCGAATACATCTCGCTGAGCGTGTACGAACACCTGCGAGTGAAAACGCAGACTAATACCGTCAAGTTACTCCACCAGCAAGGATGGGATATGAGAAGGTAGATAATCGAAAAGGTAAGTATCTGCCTGTGGGTTTCACCATATTTTACATTGACCCTCTCCAACATGTTGATAGTTCCTGTTCAATTCACTTCTTAGAACACACCAGCCCAGTGTTAAAAAAAAAGAAAATTTAAACTTAAAGTCGAATTTACCCGGTGATGGGGGGTGACCAGATTCTCTAGCACTAACTGAATTTAGAAAAAAGGCTCTTTCAAATGTACGTCGTAAGATTTTCTGGATTCATGGTAATACCTTCTATGTTGAGGGTATCGCCACCAGCTAAATTATCAATATCGCCTTCTATGTTGCCGAGCTCAAATAAGCACACTTAAATTCACATCTTAAAAAAATTACAGCTAAACGTTCAGTTTCTCGTAATAGCAGTAAGTACTATCGGCTATTTCAATGTATACCTTGATTATGAAAAATCAAACGGTTTGCCTGGCCTTAGTAAGACCAACAGAAACATGTGCGTAAGAGAGAAGAAACACGCATGCGTCTAGTTCAAGAGTTTGTACCTTGGCCACACGTTGTGGAACAGGCGGACCACGTGGATGTCACCCATTCAAATTTATTCTCAGGCGGTGTGTCGGAAGGTTGAACGATCCTTTTAAAGTCAAAGTCTACTCCTGGATTTCCACCTTGGACATAAACGTACTGAAAATAAAGGAACGAAGGACAGTTTGAAATCATAAGGTGACAAAGTAACCTGTCGGAATGTCCGACAAATAACCACTCCCCCCCCCCCCCCCCCCCCCACCCATATTATCAGTTACAAGTATTAAAAAATGCACAGCCATTTTGATTTACACAGGAAGAATATACTATTGAAGAGGCATGGGCTCGCTTTAATCAATTACGTTTATTCGGCGTTCAATTTAACTTATCTTTAATACGCATGTGAAGAAGAAGGAAATTCGTAAGGAAGAGGAAAACGAATTTGGTAAAAAAAATACCAACAAATAAGACGGCAAAAATTAAAACGCGAAGATAACACGAGGCAAAAAAATTGCCAAATGCTGAGGGAATATACGAGACACGAAACGCTCGTAGGAAAAGGGTGCACATCCATGCAAAAGGGGACGTGAAATATGATTTAAAGTGGGAAATAATGGCGTAGAAATGATATGTGTAAAGACAAGCCTGCATATGCCACAAGCCGATTTTGGCTGCACTTACTCGTGAGCTACCGAGTTGAACACTCGAAGAAAAATTCCATATCTACGCGCGCCATTTATTATTCTCTATTTATCATATAAACTGCGGTATTATACAAGGATTACCAGCCTGAGAAAAGCCGTAACAGCACACGTGAAAAATGTCGTAATTTTTCACGTGTGTTTGATATCGCCAATCAGCTGCTGACACGTCACTCGCCTTTCGCGCCACTTGGTCAGGTTGATAAATGAACGGCAAAGCCTTCACCATTCACAATCCAAGGTCTTTTGTCGGAATTTTTTCGGATTATGGCTCCTAAACACTTAAAAATCCGTATCTTTTACTAACAGTGACGTTCAATCTTTCCTAGAGGGGGAAGAAAACCAAAATACCGAAAGAAAAACTGAAAGTTACGTATTTAGTGGTTTCTCGCGGCTGAGAACGAAAATCAAGAACTGAAAGATTTGCCATAGGCCAATTTTGGCCGTTTACCTGAAAGACTTCTTCTATCGGTAAGGACCGAGTCAATAGCCGAGATATTTTGTGTAATGAAAATTACGGCCATTGTTTGTTTTTGTGGTGTTTCAATGCAGTTTTTCTCTTTGAGCATTAGCGCCGACGGACTTTACGATTTTTACTCGGTGATTGTCGATCCTTTTTATTTTCATTCATTAATAAAGTTGACTTTTCTTGCCTCAAAGGACTTTTTGTGTTTATATGATAAACAAAAATAATACATGGGCGCGCGTGGATACGAAATTTCTCTTCTTGTGTTCAACTCGACATCTCACTCGCTCGCAGCGCTCACTCGTGAGCTATTGAGGTAAACACTCGAAGAGAATTTCCATATCCACACGTGCCCATGTATTACTCTCTATTTAGTAAACTTTTACGGGAAACGCACAGATAAAGTCACTAATAAGTTTACTATCAACAATACCTAATAGAAAAATGCTTACCACTACTTTAAGAATCTGATCTGTAGGACCTGGGATCGTGAGTATCACTTTGTACTTTGACTTCTTGCGGGTATACTGGATAACTGTGTTAGCAGCAGAAACTTCCTGGACGTTTTTACTTACGTTGCCCACTAAATATGTTCCATTGTCTGCTTGAACCCCTGAAATGTAACCAAGCGCTTTCACCAGTAGTATTCACAGTCTAATGATTAGCTAGAAATTGTTACTTCGCAACACCTGATATGATAAATCGTGAAAATTCAGGAGAGGGTGTGTTCCTCTGTTTTGCTTGCTCTGCTTTGTGATTGGTCAGAAAACTCGTAACACTATCTTAGCGAAACATATGCAATTCCGATACCAATCGTGACTTGCTTACACTGATTTTCTCGTGTTTCAGGCAGTTCGATTGATTCACCTTTCGATTCCACCAGCCCCTGATGATGTCTACCTTTGTCCTGATTGGTCGTAATTACTTTAACAACACCCAATCGATATGGGTTCTAACGCTCAGCACACATCAGGTCAAACTTAGAGGATAAGCCGAGTAGGCTCTATCGGCCATTACAAAGTATACAGGCATGAATTTCTCACACTGACTGCGTAATTTCAAGTACATTTTTTTTGTTAATGACAGCAACAACCGATATGGTTCCTGAAGCGTACTTCCTCTTTAAGTTATACTGTTGGTTTCACTTTAAGTCCCTCGATTTCTTACCGAGGTAATTACGTGATGACTGCCTCATTTTGAAAGAAACGTCGTAAGCACCAATGAGAAGTCTTTGAACGACATCTGCATTTTCAAGACCTAGAATTAAAGAAACAAAATGAAAAAAGGTGTTATTCGCTAATCATTCGTAGTTTTACTGAGGTTTCTTATGCACTGTTGTGTACTCTCGGCAAATGGTAAAGAGGCGATAAAAATCTTAACTTTGCCTCGTAAATGTTAAAGCTCTGAGACATAAGAGAATAATAATAAAACAAAGAGCGAGGAAACAGAGAATCAAACAAACTCGAGTGAAATCATAGATTACCGAAGCAGACATAGAACACTTATCAAACTAGTACAGTCAAATAACCGTCTTATTCATAATATTTTATCTAAAAAAAAAATGAAAAAGGCCACCAATAAAACCAGGTAACCACTCCACCTATAAAACACACCTAAAAATTTGAACGAGATGTTTGCAGCGGAATCCGTGCAAGTGAATCAGGCGTCAAAGCCACATACCTAATATTAGTTATATCTCTATTTTCACAGCAAAGTAAGGCGCCTAACTCCTCTTTAGTGTCCCTTTATTTGCACAACTATGACGTAATCGACAAGAACTGTCCTACTGGGCTATGAAATGTACCTTTTACAGTATGAGAGGCCGTATAACTTCCAGAAATAACGAAGCATTGGTCCCCATCCCCGCCACATTTGCCACAGCGATCCACCATTGCGTTGGAGTCCAGAACGTGATCACAGCCAACCGACTATTTAGTCAAGTGACATTTCAAAACCATAATTACCCGACATCCTTAAATGCATATTCATGACGGAGTGAAAAATATTACAAATTTTCAACATATCTTAGATTATTCACTTCCAGGAGTGACTCACAAAGATTTTCTCCTCAAAATGCCACAAGGTTTTCGATTAAAAGAAAGGGTAACGAGATGAGAGGAAAACTATCGACTGGGAAATATGGTTTGATTTGAAAATAATTCCTTGAAGTTGAAGTTTGTTTGTTTGTTTGTTTGTTAGGTTTTTTTTAGAACTTTATTCACAATTCTACTTAACCCTTTAGTTCCCAAGATCGTAATACTAATTCCCTTACTGTCTGCCATATAGTTCTTGTGATATTAGTTTGGAGAATTTGGTACTGGATCCACTAATTACCCTTCGTTAAAATTGTTTTTATTCTCATCACTTGTCTGCTTGATATTGTATTGATATTGTAAGGAGAAATTCTGTCTTGGTCACTCATGGGAGTTAAAGGATTTTTAAAATATTCTCCATTCTTAGCAATCCATGAAGATAAAACAGTTTTGCGGGTTGCAAAATTGTAATATTCTCTGAGAATTCTAAAGACGAAGTAAGGTTGGTACCAGAACACTTTTTCGTAAGCCATAGTAGCTACGCAAACTTTCTATAAATCTCTCAGATAAATTTGTGAACAGATATCTTCAAACCAGAAAAAATAGATACCGATAATTTTTTTGCAATATTATCTTAAGTCACTTACTCGGCATTTTCCTTGGATACACACATCATAAGTGTTTTTTGTCTGCTTTGCAACGCGTTCCGTCTTCTACGGTACCTTTGCCTCTCACAAGGCTTCCGACACGACAATATAATTCACAAAGGGCTGAGAAAATAAATAAGATAAATGAATTACGAAAATGAAAAATGAATAAAATGTAACTTCCCTGAAAAAACGAAAATAGTGTTGTATCTTAGTTAAATTATCGTATTTAGTTGTCTTACCATTACATTTTGCTTGGTGATTTTTAACTCATTAGGCAAGTTTTTTTCCGAATAAGCAAGGGAAACCTTAGATTCGATAATTGAAAACATGCTGCCAGCTTCCTAATTGTAGTTCTCGGTGAAAATTGCAGGTAATAATTTTTGGCAAGCGAACTTTACTCGAAGCTTCGTAAACATATGGCCTTGAATTGCACATAATATATAAATGAAATACAGTCAAAGTCACACACATACAACTTGAACCAAAGTAGGGAACTGAGCCAGATTGCTTTCTTAAACACTGCTCCTCTCTAAATGTTTTTGCTCCTTCTTGACAGGCCTGTAAGAAAAATGATAAAGTGGATTAATTACTGATCCTGTAGTCAATCCCACGCTAAAGTGTTCGAGAACCACCCGATGATTTAAAAGCAAAAGATCCTTTATCACAGTTTTCCCTCATCTGGACATCTCATACAGCGTCTTTCTGTTATCCTCTATAAACATTCAAGCCTTGGTTACCAACCAGAAACAGTCCATGAAACATTATTCCCGAAAGACCACTATAATAAAGTTCGGATATCACGCGCGCTGTTATTAGTTAAAACAGCGTGCTCTATCAGAGTATAGAACATTGAGCGAGAGAACTAAAGCTGTCACGCCATCTGCCAAATTGCACTATGTCTGACAATTTCCCGTGCTTCACTCTAGGTTTTTTTTCGTTAACTGAAAGTGTAATTTCGGAACAAGCAAGTCCTCAAATGGCAACAGTAGAACCAAACAAAGGTTTATAAACCTGTCAAGCGCCGTAATTGACGTTATTATAACGTGAGCAGAGACGAAAATCCTAAAAGAGAAAACGAAATGGACAGTCCGAGTTTTTAAGGCTTTCTTCAATCTTAAGTACGGTAAGAAAAATCAAACAAGCTAACACTCGTGTAGTATACATAGTTTCGTGGTCAAAAACAAAACAGAGCAAAACAGGAATAATGAAAAGTATAGCCAAACTGGCATAACTGTTAAAATTCATCTTAATCATGTTGGTGTCAGAGCGACTGCGATCACGCTGAGGTCCATCGCGGCTAGCTCATTATCGCAATCTCCGGTCATCGCAGTGAAGCAAGCCTCAGAGTTTACATCAGCTACCCCTTGAGTGAACAAATAAGAGGTTGCTCTTGTATGTTTTCCAATGCATTGAGTTAGAGGGTCACGTCAATCACAGCAGCTGAGTTTTACGGCGCTGTCATCCCGAGCAGTCTTCATATTCCTGTAAATTCGGTCTTCGTTCATTTATAAAACACCCCTCTTAAACAAATTTAATTTTCTAATTGTCATGTTAAAAAACGTGCGTGTTTTTCCGAGCTTCAATTCGGTCAGATTTCACTGAACATTTCAGTTTCAGATTCTGTATTAGAGACTAAAAGGCTTCAGGCAGTGTTGAATTCGACGTGCCGAACTATTTCAGTTTGTAAACTACTACAGATAGTGAACTTTGATAGTTTAACATTTTTGACAGCTTTAGTCTTGGTCAACCAATCAGATCCTTTGAACTATTCTAACAAGGATTCTGGTTGGCTTATTGTCGCGTGCTTTATTATAGAAATGAAAAACGCGCCGAGTGCATCGTTGAGTTATATAAGCACGCGGGAATTTTTAAGAACTCGAGAGAAGTGCGGAGCACTTCTCGAGTATTCTTAAAAATTCTCAAGTGCTTAAAAACTCAACAATGCTCGAGGAACAAGTTTTTTTATTCTTATATAAAATGTATCGTGAATTGCACGTGCTTGTACCGATGACGTAGACTGCGTGCATTATATCTCAACAGTGCACTCGTGTGACTTAAGGCGCGTGCTTAATTGAAATATAATGAACTCGTTCTGACCAATCACGGCAGGCGCATTTCTCTGAACATTTTATAAGAGAGTATAGAGTAATGCGTGGGGAAGTAAGCGGATTCTTTCTTTTAAAACAAAGAAGTGAGAAACTACGTCTCTTGTTTCTCCCTACACTTCTTTCGTGCTTCAGCCGATTCCTGCGAGCTTTACAAAAGAACAGAGCGCATTCAAGGCTTATCTTTTGTTAACCAACGTGGAGTCTTAAAATAACATGATAGAGATTGGATCTGTATCAGTCTGGGAGACTCCTTCGCCTTGCATACTTCTCTCTCGCTTGATTAAAGAAGAAACATGGTTCTGACCCAATCAAAAATTTATCTCAGCTAATATAAAGTTTGAACATATACTCCTTACGCGGTTTGAGATCTTAAGATTCGCCTAATCGTTCATTCGAAAATTGTCTGCAAATGTGCTAAAATTTCGTCTAGGGATGCCACCATTTTGAAAACAACTCAGTAACCCGGCAGCCAACGTAAAAAAAAAAAACGCGCGCAGTTCAAAAGGACCTGCTACGTTACGCTGGTATCGAAGAAATAAAAATTATTACTTCTAACTTGAGTCAAGAATGCTTATTTGTGTGAATTGAAACTGTTTAAACAGATATCAAAAGAGGTTTGAGACTTGCCCACGACAACGGTAACCTGCAAGAGTGATAAACAAAATTCAAAATGTCGGCATCCGTGCTCAAAGTTTTTTTAATATTTGAATACAATTTTTGTCTTCCAATTCTTTGGAATCGCAAAACGCAATCAATGTCATGATCTTATATAATCCTTTTAATAGCAAAACATAAATATTAAATTCAAGTTGAGGATACTTCTCCAGTAAATAATCCGAAGGTATCACTGTTACAACATTTAAGCAGAGACGCTCTTATTCCAAATTAAATTGTATTTTTGTGGGCGATTTTCCGGACTAACCTGCGAGTTACAAATTTTCCACTCCTTGCTTTCTCCAACGCAGGATTCCCCGCCATTAGATGGTCTAGTAAGTAAGAAAAAGTCGGTTGAAGATGCCTGATTGCAGGTGATATTTTATTGAAAATACACTCGATTGCAAAAACGTTGACACGCAACAAGCGTTTATAATAACCATAAGTTGGACGTAATGAATGATAAGAGCTATCCAAACTTTCCCGGAAGAAAACGTTTTATCATGAGAAAAGATTTTTTCATGAATAATGAGAGAAGTAAATCACTGTTTATGTATCTGTGCGAACATTTCCCATAAAGGTGTTGGGTCTTGTCGTTCGTGAATCAAGCTTATTAGGTGTCAACGTTTTTGCAGTCGAGTGTATACTAGATAATGCTTAGCGCTCATGGGTTATGAGCCAATAAGCCATGCTCAAAATTAAATCGGAGCTAAGCAATTATCTCAGAGGAAACAATAAAGTAAATTCCGAAGATTTATCTATATTTTCTATATTTTGGGGGGTTTTAATTAAAACAATTATTCCACTTGCGCTTGTTGAATATGAGCCATTAATTTCTTCTTATAGTTATACTGCTGAATTATTCATGAAGATCACGAGAATAAAGGAAATGGTGGCCAAGAAGCTTTGATTGTCAAAAAATTCCCCTGGTCAATACCAAAGGAAATGTATAGCGAAGAGTACACAGAAGAGACCCGCCGAAGACGCTACGTCATAGAATTTTAAGTGTCTGTTTTTGCACTGTGTATAGCTACCTTAAAGTTGAAGAAGACCACAAAAGATTAGTTCAGTGCGATAGACAAATAAAAAAGAAACAAATCATACACTAGGGAGGAACAAAGATGGCTAATGACGAAGACGATTAAAAGCAAATATAAGAAACTTAAAAATCGCTAGTTGAAACAAAAAATGCAAAAAACGAACGACAACGACAACAACTTAAAGCTACAAAAAAACTAGACTGACAGACACACACACACTCAACCAAAAGAAACAAACAAAAATAACGGTAGAAAAAATTCATTACGAACACGCCTTTCATAATCCTAAGGCCCAAATGCTGCAGGAAATACAGTTTTAGATTTGTTATTATTCAAACTTACCCAGGATTTGTACAAGTTCGAGTTCTGAACGTGACTCCACCGTTACATGGCCGTGTACATGGTGAGTCGTAACGAGACCACGCGCTCCAACCTCCATTAATTCTTGGTTTGCCATTGTCTACACATTTCCCGCCTATGCACCACTGTAATTGTAACAGAAAATCTTTATTAAGACCGGTAAAGACAAATAATCATTAGAGATTTAGAGGGTTTGTTTTTTTTTACGGTAACTGAGCTGCAAGAAGTTTAATCTGGTTTGGAATTTTACGCACGATTTCAAAATCGAATAAACGCGCATGAAAATGGCCGAATATGTAGTCCAATTTCCGCTTCTATATCAACATCTAATTTTGAAATGTTACAATTGAATTGCTCAAATTTTTGTCCTTCAAAATGTCTTATTCAACAAGTCACAAAAAAATGAAAAGAGTACGATCTGAGATTAAATCGTACTGCTGAGAGTCAATCAGATTGCAGGAACCTCCAGTAACAAACTTTTCTCGTGTTCTTCCAACATACCCCGTGGCTTGTTACGCCGGGGAAACAATAGAAAGTGTTGTTTGTCGCCTCCATGACATAATTCTGAGCGAAGTTTGTCAGAGATAAAGATAAACTTATTCTTAGCTCTTAATTTGTGATAAAGTCGCTGATTCTCATGAAAACCATGAAAAAAAATCGCGAGAAATCAATCAAAGCGCTGGAAGCCGAATGAAACGCTGGTCAGAAGAGCAAAGACAAATTAATTTCCCGCTGTATGAACGTAATGGCACTGAAAACCCGAGCAGAAATTGTAGAGAAAACTTATGTAAAATAGTGATGTGCAAGATCACACTAGTTAGAAGGCACTAATTATAAAAGTGCTTTTGAAGAATACTTCAATTTGGACGGGAAAAACGTGAAGTCTGTAGCCAGAATTCCTCTACCACTCCTTCACCACTGTAAACTTATAAGCTGGACAGAAGGTTTCTGAAGTTTCCATGCCTAAAAACATTTAAAAATTTTTTCGGAGCTTTTTCATCGCAATAAAGGTCAGTTTTAGGGTTTCAGGTGGTAAAATTTATTTCAAGTTTGAGGACCTAACTCACGACATGAACAGCATAATTGCAAGTATACTCATGCCGTTTAGCTATTTTGTATACTCGCGGCAATTTGTTTCACTGCCTCTGCTTAAATCAAAACTCTCACGGAGTCCTTTCTAAAGTTAACAGAAAGTGCTAAAGCGTTTAAACATGTTAATAACAAGTACGTGGTGTGTTTTTTGTGACGGTATTCATGGAAGTTTCGCTCGTAGCAGAAGAAAATAGCCATAATAAACGCCTACGGGCGCTCATAAGATTATCGCAGGATAACCGTCCTTGCTCTTACCTTGCGTTCTGCACAGGGTGCCCCATCAGCTATCGGTGCTAGTCGACTCAATTGCACTCCACTTTTTGGGATTAAAGCAATATAACTTATCGCATACTCCCTGAAAAAAAAAATTTAAATTAGAAATTATTTTGAAAGAAAGGGCGATGAGTTTAAATCGAGTGAAATGTTAATCTGTTTAGGAGAAGGTCTGATGGCCTGACATCTTCACTGCATATTTCGCAAGGGCTCTCCTTAACTTAAGACGCGTAGGCCCCGCGGACCAGTAATCTCAAAGTTTCCATCTCTTCTTGGGTGCTTGACTAATCTCACTATAGTGGAAAATACTTTGGCTGACTTGTGTGAAACGAATGACTGATTTCCCAAATCCGCCATCCAATATTTTAAGTGTAGCCATAACGATTTCAAATCCAAGAACAACTTGCTCCCCATTGGTTCAAAGATAAAGCTGCATAAGATAAACCATGGCTTGCTGCGCGCCGAACCTATTCATTGTGGTACTTCCTTTCTCAGTCATAGCTCACCTTTTCATAAGGTGACAATACGTAATCAGCGCCGTACTGCATGACACACTGAGCGTCTCCATCGAAGATTTCCCCGGGAAGTTTGCCGTGATACTCAGGTTTAAGGGTTGGAAGATCGCCGAGGGGTGTGTTATCTAAACACCAAGACTTGCTGCCTCTGTTAATACAGTAAGAACAAAGTGGTAAGATATTACCCTAGCAGATGTTAGAGAGCAGTTCACAGATGCCACACTTTCATTATTTGGATCTGTAAAAGTAAACAAAGCCCATCTACCGCATAATATTTCCTAGCTTATCGTTAGAGTGTTAACATTACAAAAGGTATAATTATATAGTGTAATAACATAAAATGCTATTTAAAATCAATCTAAAAAGTATTTCTATGGTACGTGTAAAAAGGCATAAAAGTCATAAGTGGTAATCGTTTTCCAGATTATATTGGAAAATAAATTTTGAGCAGCATTTACTAAAGTATGTAGATCATTTTAATCAAGATACGATTGAGAATATTCAGTTGTTTCATAAGTTTAGGAAACGCTAACTGATTTTCCACAAGAAGGCACTCACCCTAAGAATTCCTGAAGGACCCTCCGCGAACAATTTGACCAGGTTGCTGCATAGATACCACTCGGTAAAACAGCTTCCATAATGTATTGATGCTGCGGACACCCTACATCGCCATCATGATCAAGGTAAAGGCTGCGACAACAGAGAAAGGTAAGCCTTTAATTCTCATGTGATGGTAAGGTACAAGCATTTCTTACCTCATTCAAACAAACATGCAACGACAAAACTGTCCATACATCAGCTAATTGTGCTACCTTAACTTCAAGTTACGACACACGAAACTTCCGACAAACCTTGTCGCGATATTATTAAAATATTCCAATCTAAAATTTGATCCGGGTGGTTATTTTTCCCGGGCCAATTTGTGACAAACAAATCTGATATAGGAGAGCGTACAAGACGAAGACAAATACTGACATCACGCGTAATGCAAAAATGCAAACAACGCAACGTCGTCACTTACTTGTGACCTATCTCGTGTGCGACGTGAAGTGCAGTTTGAAGACCAACATCAGCGTTGATGTTACCATTCCCTGCGCCTGCCTTGGAGCAGATCTGGTTAGCAATGGCGAGACCTAAAAATATACATATAAGGATATATTTAATGACCCTTTATTCTTCTTACCTTCCTTGGAACCTTTATGACCCAAAAACATTTGAAAATTTCTAAAACGACGACTTTCATCTAGCTTGGCATCTTTCAGCTGATTACACAAGTCAGCAAAGAGCATCTTACCTCCGCTTTTTATTTCACTGCAAAAAGGAAGAAAGCGGTAAGATGGTCAATTCACAAAATTTCATCACAAGTCTAGGGAGACAATTGCTTAGTTACATAAAACAATATAATTCTCAACCGGAATTAGACGCTCCATGATAGAGTCCTTTTGGTGACGAATAAAAAACTGTTTAAACAGTCTTTCTGTCTGTACTCTGTTTATCTGTCTGATCTTCTGTGCAAAAAGGAGTTAATTGTAGAGTTTTTCTAACATTGTAGGCTGGTATCTGTCTCTCTCTAAGCAAACTTTCCCCCGTGCCTTTTTGAAACGTTTACGTAATGCCTCGTAAAACAACCATAAGTATTTTTCACCCTTAAGGAGATACGATGCTGTTTGCTCCTTTCCCGATGAGTCTGACACCCCACGAGAGACTTAAAATACCACTATCAAGGTTTTTCAAATGCAACTTCCCCTCTTTACATCATTCAGGAAAAAGTGGGGCGATGGGATTGGACAAATACATCGGCTCGAGGGTGCTTTTCATCCTTTGTTTACTTAGGTGAAAAAGTATAGCAACTAGAAAGGGACCATTATTCAGATCTTAAGGGTTACAGTCCCGGATGTAACATCATATATTTTCGTTCGAAATCAAGCTGGAAGAGCATGTTTGTTCGTGTAGCAATCTTTGCAAACAAAACAGAGCCCAAGCTGGAAAAGCTCACGTCATAATTTCAGCAGTAATGAGAAGAAACATTATGTGAACTCACTTTGATTTCAGACCAAGTATTATTTGCTCGGTTATCCACCCAATGCTGTGCGCGACAAACATGACGTCGAATAAAAATTATTTTGATATTCATCCGGGGATCTAAAGATAATACGTACTTTGACACGTAACTGAACACGTCATAGTGATCCGGGTCGTTATTACTTCTTAGTGTTGAAGGTCCCGCCCATTTCAACATCTGTGTCAGCTTCTTGCTATTGCTGTCGACCTTAGTGAAATTAGCCTACATAGCAAAAAGAAAACAAAGTTTTTAGCTGCAATTAAACTTGTTTCAATTGGTTTTCCCTTTCTTTAAAAAAAATTCTGACTCGATGCAGCACGATAGGACTTCTCAGAAACAAGAGTTCAAAAGTGCAAGACTTTTATTTTTCTTTCTTTTCTCTTTCGCTGACACGTTTGCCAGAACCACTTTTCCCGGCTCACGTCCGAAGCTTTTTAAACAAGAAACAATATGCCTTGGTCTCCAACGTTTACACACGCACTCTTGGCTCCAATTACGACCTTTCACTTTTATCATCTTTTTCAATATCAATGGCTTCTGGTTCGTTTTCACCAGACCAATCTAAACTACAGTATCTTTAGCAAACTTGGTTCTTAAAAGTATTTCTTACCAGCTTTACTGTTGACTCCATAACAACAATCTTGGTAACCACGTAATAGACCTTGATTTTTCCTATACTGGGATCTTGATACATACCAGCAACCTATCAGATGAAAAAATGTAATTCTGATAAAGATGGAATTTCCTTTTTAAAGGTGTAAGATAAGTTAAAATTTATCTTCCATCGCAAATTTTCAGGATAGTAAATAACCACCCTTTCGTTGAAGCGAACTCCTACTGAAGTGAACCTCTGCATATCAAAGAGGACATCTTTAGAATGAAAAAAAAATTGTTCCCTGATGTAAAAAAAAAAAACCTTCGGGCATTTTCCTAAAGCTGCTGATACGGCGAATATTTGTCTGGCTTCCAGCCATTTTAGAACTCGTTGATTAAGACAAAATCAATATTGTTTCGTCGTAAATATGCCCAAGCACACATACCATATTGGCAATAGCGAGGAGTACTGTGGCAAATTCATCTGTTCCATACTTCTCTTCGTAGCTTTTAGGAACAATTAACGCTCCTTCAAGAAACTTATAGCCATTTGTTTTTACTTCACGAGTCCTCCTATTAAGTGTAGATCTCTTGATACGATCTTTTCCTGAAAAATAAGAAAAATAAAAGTAAAGAAAAGGTATCAGTACTGATGAAAAATCTAGTGGTCTGTGGGAAAAGGCCAAATAAGTACATCTAAACACAATGCGATATACAGACAACAATCCTGGCTAAGTATCACGAGAGTTACACAGATCTCCCTCTCGTGGTCAGTACGGAAACAATGACCAAAGGCACAAATCAAGATAATCGACCAGTATGGGTTATGCCCTCACAACCCCAAATGCCCTGATTTTCTGGAGATAAAACCTGATACATAGCTACCTCCTTGCCATCTTACTAGTGAATGGCTGCTGAAAGACAACAAACGCCTAGGGGGGAGCATTGCAAATGTACTTTACCGAAAGCAGGTTTAGTGCTTTCAAAATCACATAAAGAATTGCCAGTGGAAATGCCAGAGAGAAAAAAATTGAAAAGTAAACTGAATTTATCATAGATTGATCCTCGCGTCTTGTGCCCAAGTCGAGTTAAACTTGGCAGTGCTTATCATCGTGGAGGAAGGCCGAAAACAAAAGAACCATAAGGCGGGAACCAACCAACATGGGATATCGCGAATGGAGCTAAAACAAATTACTCCTGCGCCATTACTGTGGCATCACTAATTCCAGTATTTGCTCGTTTTACAAAACGAACGAACCTGTTGACTGCATTTCACAGGAAACCGCTTCTTGTGTTGGAATTCTGTAAATCAAGTGCGGCGTAGAGTACGCATTTCTCCTTACTCTCCTGGCCAAGTGTGGCGAGAGCGGCTGTATAAATAGTGTTTCTCGAGAAGTCCTGATCATACCCATCTAATGATGAAAAATTAACATAATGTAAGTACCAGCAAGAAATTTGTATGCCTAATGAGATGATTTGGAATGCAATTCGGTGTTAATAAGCACGAGTAAATTTTTCAAAGAGAGCAAAATTGCACAAGCCCATAGGGTGAGTACAATTTGTAGTCTTTGAAAAATTTACAAGTGCTGTTTACACCAAATTGCAGGAGAAATCATGTTTTATTTATTAATAATTTACATGAAAAAAAAACATATTAGAAAGGCAAGACAGACGAAATTTTGAAAGTGTGCGCGTGTTATTTGTTATTTGCACTCGAGTTACAAGAGAATGCACAAATTTTCAGCCAATTAGAAGCGCGTCATTTTTCATGCACATCATTAACACGGTAGCAAACACAGGCGTGTCTGAGCGAGAGCACCATTTTCAGAAACTTTACATAAGTCAAACTTACCATGTTCCTTTCTCTATCGCTTGGCAAAAACGTTTAGAGAAAAACTCAAGATACCATCAAACGTAACAAAACTCTTACCAAGCTTCTGTCACCTCGCAAGGCCACCAAGGAATCTGGATCGGACAAAACTTGTCCCAAGTAGTATTTGTTTTTGGGTGCAGATTGAGTCGTTACCATACCCTCTCCGTGATGTCTCTCAATAACTAAGTTCGGTGCCATGAGATTACCATTTCGCTTCAATCTAAGCCGTAATTTGGAACCAAATGCATGCACGTCGTAATGTAAAATATCTGAATGACCCACATCTCTCCTGATGCGAAAGGGAGACGTAGTCCTTCCATTAACGTCTGTATGATGTGGCGAGCTAATATCGTATTCGGGAACTGTGAAAAGATGGTAAAAACTTACGTTCTTAGAGGTCTAGGCCTTTCGGGGCTTACCCAGTGTCAGTTGGAATGTGGAAGACGCGTTGCCTTAACAGGTAGTACGTTGGGCTCCAGGTCGAAATGTCCGTGTTCAAAACTCGGCTGGCTTTAGTTAATTACGTTTTTAGGAAAGAAGCTTTATTTCTCTCTCCACCTTCGGGGGCGCTGTCAGTTACGATCTCCATGAGCAACACCCTAAATGGGCTTACGACTGCACTAACCTTCTTTTCACTGCTCAAAATATCGCAAAAATAGCTCAAAATTATCAAACATACGAAAAGGAACTTTTTTGTCTTACTTTTTGTATGATCCTTGACACCAAAGTAATGCTCTATTTCTCTCTTGGTCATGTGAAGGTGAACATTCTAAGGAAAGAATCAAGGAAGATAAATACACAAACGCTTCAAGCCGATCATGAGATGCACCCCCTTTGTACAACTCGAATAAATTGATGTCTCGCAAAAATTTTTATTTCGATTGAAGTGAGTTGCACTATATTTGAGACAGTCTCAATCAATTATCACTATCATATCTTCATCGCACAACCAAAGTGAAATCGATTTCCGTAACGCATCTTACATACAAAACATAAGCAACATCAAGTAATCATTGAAAAATACGAACCCCTCGCAAATTTGAACAAGTAGTTTGGAAATTTTTTTTTCAACCAAGGTATGAGCTTTGAAATTAAACTACCATTGAAACATTTTTCCGAGGAAAAATTTGACTTACTTGTTTAGATTTCCTTGCTAGGACAGCGTCTAAGTAAGAAAGATTGGTGAACAAAATCAAGTAAATCAACCATTCTACAAAAAAGCTACAACAAGTTTATAAATAGCCTATATTAATTCCTAGTCAAAATGTCTTATCCAGAGCGTAAACCCTTGAATTACTCTCTTATTTTTATTTGAAACTGCGAATTGTTTTGCAAACGTATGCCACGACTTTGTTTGAAATCTTCCCAAATGTCTTTGTGTGGTAAATTCTTCGGGTAGCTTCCATTTGGAAAGAGTGACAGTTAAAGGCCTGCTGATTTCGGAGATAACAAGTTTTGTTACAAAAATGTTCCTACACCCAGGGTATTACAGAAACTAAAACTTGTTTTTGATTTATCCTCTCGATTTTATTTTGATTCTACAGTGTGTCCTATCGTGAGCTTAGTAAGGTTTTCTTACTCTACACTGAAAGTAAAGTAAAGGCGTTGAATGCAGGGCATAAAGTATCGTTGCTTTTTCAATAAAATACGAGGTGCATTTAAAGAAGGTGCTGTAGGAGTGCCTTACCGATGGATAGAAGCAACGCAAAAACCAGGAAAAGCCAATTGGACGATGGAAATCGCATTCTGTACATTCTAAGAAGGCAGATAGAAAGGATAGCAAATACAAGTGAGCTAAACTCAAATACTTTTGCATACACAGGCAGCTTGTACGGTGTACAAATAAATTATCCATTACTAGCTCGTAAGATGTGTCAATGATGGCCGAACGGAAATGTCAAATATCAGAAATGGGTGACTGTGCAATAAACTTCTAAGGAAGGGAAATGCTAAAATACTGACCACTTTGATTTGGATTTGTTAATCTTGTCAACTGTCGCATTGCGTCACCGAAGCTATCATGAGCAAAACTTAAACTAGTCGAGTGTATTTTAGATCCTTTTCACCACGCATTTTCTAGGTTTTTTTTTTTTTGAATTTCGTGCTTTTCTCTCTGAGTTAAAAAATGATGATGACATACCAGAAAACTGATCAAGCTGAGACTTGCAAATTCTCACAACATACTAGAACAATGAAAGCCATAATTAAATTTGCTTCTTTTGGTTCCGTGTTCAATGAAGTGCGAATTACTTGTTTCGTCGCATTTAGTCCGGATACATTTGCTTTATTCAATTTGAAATAGTACCTTTGGAAGGTTCATTGTAAAGAAAACTGCGAAAAAAATACAAAGGGCGAAGTTTGAGAGACTTTTGAGTTGCCAAATATTACAGGCCACTTCCTCCCACTGCATTGCTATTCATGAATAACTCATTTCTACCAAAATTATCAGATCGTTTAGCTTGCATTAATGAACATTGACCATCTCCGAGTTTTAAGAGGATAGATGAGTATGAAGTTCAAGTTTTTCGAATTAGGCTGCACTTTGCATTGTTCATCATTCCTACGAAGATAGGAAATAATGATCTGAGAGAAATTAATTATGCGCTGCCATTTGTTGTGAAGCACTATTGTTATGCACCAATGACTACGCAAAAAGACAAGTCTACAGGAAAATAAATGCTAACTTTTTAACTGTGAATGCATATCTGAAGGTACTGAAAATGGTAAAAACTGTACCATTCCGTTAGTATTTTCAGCCAGCAAGGCCCTCAGTCTTTCTACATCCTGGGCGCTTAACCTGCCTAACAAAGAAAAAACTTGGCATCTTGCCACACCAGTATTCAGACAAATGTGGACACCGATGAAAATGCAGACCCACTATCAAAGGAACCTAATTTACCACAATAATTTCAAGGCCAGCATTTTAATAATTTCATTTTCCTTTACTTAATTTGCGCGTATCAACCATCAAATATATATTTTTTGTATCCTTCGTATTATGTTTTATGTTCAAGCCTCATTGCGCAATATTTGTGCAGACTAGAACTCGATAAGATAACACATCACCTAACATGTTGAGCTCAAGAAAGTTCGTCTAAATACCCTTCAGCACGTCGAAAGCTGGATTAAATTCAAAAATTTGAATTTAAATTAAGATGTTTACCATAAAGTTCTATTCTCTGACAGCGGTAATTAAATTTAAGGTTACCGTAACCATAACAATCATGACGATGATATGGAACGCTCGTCTGAGGCAGTCAAACTTTCTCCGTTATCCTTGAATTGAGTTCACTGCATCTGTTTATCTTTTGCCACATAACGTTTTTCCAGGGGCACTATTAAACGTGAATGTTTTGGTTCAAAAAGTATAACGGTGGCTTGAAACAAGACGATATCAAGACGTATCCTGGCGCGGTGAGAATTCAAAAGGAGGCCGAGTTATGTTCTCTGTGAGATAATTTCGCTTCGTATTGTTGTCCGTGTCTGAAGAAATTTCAGGTCAAGATGTCTATCAAAACTTGACGGTCAGCAGCGCGGTATGTCTAAGGTTGGCTTTAATCCTGACCTTAAAATGTAACACACGCAATATTGTCTAAATATCGCTTGCAGTTCACCACATTTTTGAGGGTTCATTAGAAAAAATATTCATTAGTAAAAAGACTGAATCTCATTTCTTAATCACAATAAGCAACGTTATGCTAATTTTTGTCGTATTTCGTTCAGGATTGCAACAAGGAACTCGAGTGAAAACCTTTTGCTCACTGTTTAACTTTTCTTGAGAAATCATAGCAAAGGACCTGCCACAAGAACATGCCACAAAATGATGATACAAGATGATAATTAAACAAATACAAAATGAACAACAACAGATATGACAGTTGGGGTAAGACAGAGCTGAGTGAAAATTGGGCGCTGCTATTCAACCGTTAATCTCCCTGATCTGATCAATAAGAATATATTATAATAACAACACATTGTTCAGCAAACTTATGATCAGTCAAATTGTTGAATAAGCCTGCTCACTCGAAGGAAATAGAAGCCGCTAAATTCAAGTAAATTTTCAACTTGGTTAGAGTTACTTGGTTACAGGTTACTTTAGGTCTTTCGAAACATAAGCTGGTATTGCTGTGCAACTGCTGTTGCACTCTGGATCAATTTTAGCAACAAAATATTCGGTCGAGGTACCCGAAAAGAAGCAAATTTAACTACCTGACCTGACTAAGGAGATCACAACTAGCTCGTGCGAAATGACCTTGATACAACTTTAACTGAAGGTAATTTTAACTTCAACGAGTAATTCGAACTTACTATCTATGTTCATGACAAACCACCATAGTAGCAAGAGCTTTAGCGATGCACTTGTATTATCAAGAACGATGTTTTACCTATTTCCCACAACTACATTTCGTGGAGACTTTGAGTCTACTGAAGTAATATTGACAGTATATCTTAAGTAGAAAATATTTAGAACAATACTGAAATACTACTATTCACTGGTATTGAGGCTTGACTCGTGATACATTTATAAAAATAGTTTTGGTGAAAGATTAGTATGGGCTCAAATCTCCTACCTTTCTGACATGGCAATGGAATCAGACATTCTCATTTTCGCGCACGAAGAAATTTAAATGCCAGCGTTTTCCACGTTATTTGGAATATGATTGGCCTGAACAGCGCTAGCGTCAAACTGAAATACTTTTCGGACGAAAGGAAATACTTCTCTTTCGGGGCATATTTTGCTGTTCTTTTCTTCGGATTCTTTACAGTGAAAGCTTCTGATCTTAACTAGAGTTTATCAATTCAAAAAAAATCCTGTTTTCAGACAGAATTAAAATTAATAAAAGACAACTTATGTTAATTTGCCAATACTATCTTCCAAAATAGAAATATAATAGAAGATTTAACCGCTACAACTCACAAGTTCTACTAACGGACATGCAAAAGCGATAATATAGATGATATCAGTAGAAAACACTTGAGGCGAATCCATCAGTCAAAATCACAACTTGACAAATAGGAAAATAGTGTCATTTCTTATCCTTTAGCTTGTTAATATGAATGAAAATCTCAAGTTACGTGGTTAAAGATTTATAAAAATATCTCTGCGGGCTTTCGAATATAACATGCATAATTGTGGTATGAAATCTTTTCACTGACGCGGTAGCCATTTTGAATAAATCATGGTCTGAAACAACATTAGCCAAAAAGGTTTCGATGCACAGGAATCGAAGTGACAAGGGCAAGAAGGAGAAGAATACTCAAGGGCGAGCGTATACGTCAAAGGAAAATTTACATATTACATGAAATAAACAAATCAAAGTTTTACTTTGGAATTTGCACGGATGGGTTTTCGTACTCTGTTTTCCAGGTTGAATCGATGGTTTTGAGGAGGTAAGGAAACCCTTGAAACAATGTAGAGAACAACCAAAAATTCAACACACTCGCATCAATGCATCAACGGTTTAGGGAATCGAATCCAGGCCAAAGCGGAGGAAAACGAGCGCTTCCACCGTCTTTGTTTCAAAGTTGGCTTATGCTGTCTAGTGACTCTCTTTGCTGCAAAGTCTTCCTTAAGATATTGCAGGAATTTTGCGCGGACATGCCTTAACGGAGTCAAAAAAAAACAAACAAAAAAAAAACCGCTGTGGCTAAATTTTCATTCATACAAATCTTGAACTGTTCGGCTTATAGGATATAAAAAGTCAATAAGATTCTTAATGTGAAGGATAAAGTGTGTACAATATGTAGGTAAGTTATAAATTTCAGCCAAGGCGTTGAGCAAGAATTGACACCGCGTTGGGAATCACAAGGGTATGCCAAGATTCCAGCATCCTTCCATTTTCAAGAACTATAATTGTCAATCATGGAGGCACTTTCAAAGATATTACCTGGCCTTGATGCCACGAATGATCTGTAAATATAGACTGTTGCCAGCTGGTCCTCAGATTAGAATCGGCACAAAGAGAAAAAAGCACACGAAATGTTCAAACGTGCGTCAACAACTTAAATGGTCTTCTGAGCATGTATCTCCTTTCCGGTTGCAGAAATATCCTGGAGACTCCACCAAATTATGTCTCGTCTGTTGTAAACACCTTTCGCTGATTAACCCCTGAGGCAATTTGGCAAATAAAAATTGCCGACTATTAGCACGTCTCACGCAATACCGGGAATGGTTGAACACCAAAGAACATCGAAACATTTTAGAAAGGACTCTTCCTCCCCTGTTCCTGTTCGCTCTTTTGTTTATCGCCATATTATTTTGATCAGACAAACTAAATTTTTAATTATTCTTCAAGGCTACGACATAACTATATGTCGCAGGCCTAAAAAAAGGCAGTAGTATTTTTATTTCTGGTATCAAAAGGAAATACCATTCAACCCGCTCCTGGAGAGATTTAAAACCTCCCAAGTAGTCAAATTGAACTAAAAAAGACTGAACTGGCTTCATTCAAATTGAAACTTTACGCTACGATAAACGGAGGAAAGTAACAAATGCTTGATAAATGTTAAATCTACTATTACTCTTAAAACCTAGTGTTAAAGTTTGTCAGTAAATGCAGCCAAAGTCTAAAAAGAACTTTTGCATATCAGCTTGCCTTCGATTAAATAAAAAGTACAATTTAAGCACAATGAAAAGGAAAGGCGGGTACGTCGGTTCGATTGCAGTTCAGCTCAGTAAACAGCACAGGACGTAAGCTCTTGGAAAATGCCACACAAGGAATAAAAGGGTAGCCGGTGGCAAACACGTCCGTCTACATAAGTAAGCAGGGTGCAATTTTGATGCAGATTATTATTTAGTTTATTTTTTTTTTCCACCTAGGGCTTTTGTCAACAGTTTTAGATAAACACTAGCCCAAAAATGAAAACATTTTTACTGAAACAAAAGACAACGTTTAAGTTAATGACTTTACTAAAAGCATGCCTCCGACTCGGACATAATTATCCTTTACCTTTACGTTACAACGATTTTTTCCATATTTCAAGTTCTGAGACGGTTAAAGATGAAAAAGGAGTAGTAAATAATGCAGCTGACCAACTTGTGTAATTTGAATTTGTGTTTGTACCAGGGACTAATACATTGCTTTTGCTGAATCTGCTGCATAATAACTGTCCAAGGTGATTTGGCAAATACAAATGCTCAAAATTCTTACGTCTTGCGGTGATGGGTGTTCGAATTTGTCAATTAGCGTCACTTCTCACAAGAGTTTAAACAGCTGATACGAATTGGACTTCAATTTGACTTCAATTTGACTGACAGGGCGCACTTTGTCTGCAATCTGCATGATAAATTTATAGCAAGATAAGGGTGGTAGGAAGGGAGAAGGAGACAGATTGCGTAAAATCTCTTATTCCGTTCCTAGTTACTTCATAAACGGATTGGTATTGAAATATGGACAGTGGTGATGTTACCCTAGCCTTAAATAATTTTGCTTTTGTAATTTGACCAAGTAAATATTTGCACAAGTGTCTGGTTAGTCCAATTATTTTTCCTTAATTAATCATGGTCCTTTCAAACCTTGTTGAAATACCACTTTCAAAACTTAAGCCTCAGAATTAATAATCTAGAGACAAAGCAGACACAGAAAGTTTTTGCAAAGTTAACATGTTCTTGGTTCCCATAATTTATAAGCCTCCTGTTGGGAAACATTTTAATACTAACGATGGGCACCATAAATCTTGCTAAATCTTCCGCTTCAGCTCTCTTTGAGGTCAAAACAGACAATAATTTTGAATTTTTATCAAGGATCGTGATGTAACGCATCCAGAATTCCATATAGTTAATCTTTCATTAATAATATAACTTTTAAATCCGTCGGGTTTTAGGTGATTACGAAGAATGACAACAGAGTAACACCTGTTAATAGCAAAGCCAGTTAAAAGAGCTTGCCTTGCTTTCGTGGCTTGTCCGAACAATACTGTCTTGCGCATATTATTTACTCGAAAGATATTTGATTTCGCGAAGGAATTCCAGTTATAGAATAAAGTGGAAATAGGAAGACCTTGAGGACAACCCATTGTGAACAAAAACATGATCTTCTAAAGAGACCGGCAGGGTGCTGTATTCGAATGTAAATTGTTTGTCTAAGAACTTAACAAAGACGAAACTAAGTTGAAACAAACATTACACCAAGGGAAAGCGCCTGTCTTATAGATAACTCAGTTTCCCCACAATGGTTTGTTGGAAGGAAGGAAGTTGGGACACCAATACCCTGAATTGGACTTAAGGGCAAGTAACGGAATCTCACTAACAAGAGGAATTTAGCCACGCATTTTTAAAACAGACTTCTGTCTTACTTTTATTTTGATTAGTTTCCATGGAGTAGATATCAATACAGCTGACTGCATTCTCCAGAATCCTGATATCACAGTGTTCGTGAGTTGCTGAGAATGTTTCGTGACAATTCTCAATTTAACTGTTAAAAGGCGCCAATGGGTAATCGAAATTCGTCAATTTTCTTAAAGAAGACTCTTAAGAGTTAAATTAAATGGAAAATTCAACTTGATTGACTGGCTGCGGTTTCAGAGCACTTTTGCTGGCGGAAAAGCTTAGAAGAAGGTATTGGAAAGCACGAGAAAGTTTCATATACCGATTTTCTTTGATCCCCTTGTGTTTTCTCATTTTCTTCAACAGAGATGAAATGCGAAAATTTAGGAGCAGGAAAAAAATCCTTGAAAAATTTACATTTGTGTATCCTACAGCAAAGTTAACATTTGCATAGTTACCGACTCAGTTTAATTACAGGTTATTTTGCTGAGCATACCTTATGCAAACACCAGCTTCATATCTTAAGCCCCATAACAGCGTAGTCAAATAGAAAACAAACAGAAAAAGCTCGTGCAAATTCTAAAATCTTTGTGAGAATTATCTTTACTGTTCCTGTTGGAAAGGATCGAACGTTTATTAGACGGTGCAATGAGCTTGAACCGTGTCGAAAGACAGAGAAGAATTAAATTATAATAAACAACGTTGTTGTTTGAGATAAAAACATACAAGAAATAAAGTTTTCAAAACAGATCAGGCTCAAAAGCATTGCAAATTTATTTAAGTTATTCTTTATTTAATAAAGGCTAGTTTTCCCTTTACATGAAGGAATTTTGTGGTTTATAAAGAATAACAAAAGATGAAACCCTTCGTGCCTGTCAATCAATCGGATTGAGTCGATTTGCTAAATTAAACCTCACGTCACAATCTTAAGCCTTCCCTTTTTGAGTGAGTTTCGATTTTGTCACATGAGAAGAATGGTTAGCATAAGCTCTAAGATGAAACATGAAAATGTTTCGTTTTAATCCAGCTGGAGAAAATCAAAATTGCATCTCCCTCGAATTAAACTACATTTTCTAAACATAGGTAACATTGTACTATATTACCCAGAGACTTCAAATTTCCATCTGGGCTTTTTTCTTCACGGTAGGTTAAATTTTTATCGACATCAATCATCATACATTGGGTGCAGTGACTCAAAACATCACTGCCTGTAATGATCTGTAGTATTCATCCAAGTTCACCGGAAATACTCCAGTGGCATTGACAATAGTCGTGGTGTGGTATCCAAGCGATACAAATTTACGCAATAAACTTAAGTATTCTATAGCACTGTTGGAATCAGTGGTAGCCTATATTTAAAGCAACAAAGAATCGCAACACCAACACATTGACATTTGAACACGGTCATGTCATAACACTGAAAACAATATCACAAATCGTTTTGATTTACCTTGTAGCTTTTTCCACTTGAATACTAACGAGCTCTGTAGCGATTGCCAACACTGGTAAAAACTCTGGCTACAGAAATTGCTTCTCAGTTTTTTTCTTGCCGCAGTACAGTGAAATAAAAGCCGACTTCATCGATTAACAATTTAGCTTACGTGCGCGTGACAAACCTTGTCGGTTTCAGGTGTCACGAACGTTTATGACGCAACACTTTGAAGGTGATGCGTGACTTTGCATGATGCCAGGCGTTACCGTTAACAGATGAGTGGGTGAAAAATGAATGGGCAGCAATTAGCAATTGTTGTAGCATTAATAACACCAGTCAATAATTTTCCAGTATACTACGTTCATATTACAAAAGAGGAAAGTGAAATAAAAGCCGACTGTTTCGAGAAGAACATTGCTCACGTGACATTTGCGTTACGTTTAAAAGTTTATTTAGTTTAATATTTCACTTTTTCTTTTCACTTAGTGATCACCTTGATTGACACTGAAATATGAGTAAGTTGATGGTTTTTAGTTAGTTTTTACACGTGTCGTGTCGGAGGTATGAATCAGGATAGCTTTCCCGTTTTTGATGATTACACTGTTTAGTTTAACTCTGGAATCCCGTCACGAAGTAAGTCAGTTGTTTTAAGTCGTTTTTGGTTTCCTTAGGCTTTGTTACATTCAATTATTCGCGTTGATTTCTATTAGTGTAATTTCTGTAAGACCGCATGTAATTAGCGGTTAAATCTGTTCGTGTTTTTAAGATTATATGATGTGCTTAGGTCTCTTATTTTTGGTTAGGTTCTGTTGTTTAGGAATCTTATTTATTTTATTGTTTCAGATCGAATAAAATTCTTGTAAAATTTATACGATTCGGGATTCTTCAGAGTCACGTAATTTGGTTTTCATCCGACGGACCACCGACTTCATCGATTAACAATTTAGCTTACGTGCGCGTGACAAACCTTGTTACGAACCATCGGTTTCAGGTGTCACGAACGTTTATGACGCAACACTTTGAAGGTGATGCGTGACTTTGCATGATGGCAGGCGTTACCGTTAACAGATGCGTGGGTGAAAAATGAATGGGCAGCAATTAGCACCAGTCAATAATTTTCCAGTATACTACGTTCATATTACAAAATGGAAAGGAAGAGGAAAAAGAAGAAGAAGAAGAGGAAAACGAGAGGAAGCGAAATAGATAACAAAGATTTGTTTTGACCGAACACTCTTGGTCGCTGAGGTTTTTGCTGATTTTGCACCTCACTGATTGAGGAAAACAATTGAAGTAATACAAAAGGAGCTAAGAAAAATCAAAGAAATTTTATAAAGATGCGAAACGCTTACATTTTTCACATTTTACTTTTGGATCGAAAGTACGAGGAAAATCGCTCCTTGAGGCCAACAAAAATTATGCCCGCGTGGGTTTTCGAGTGCCTTCTTTGAAAAGGTCTTGATGGATAAGAGCTGATTGTGGATTCACAACACGCTAAAAGCTGTACGTATCTGCCATTTTATCGTAAATTTCACCAGCCAAGACCTCAGAACCGCACAACGCACTCCATATTTCCTTTCCTGCTTGATTACACGGACATCAAATAGTTTCACTTTGTTATCAGCTGTCAACTTAACAAAACAAAACTGTGAGTGACAAAGAAATCAACATGTTTAGTTAATTTCTTTGCAATAACGACAGGGAATCTTTGAGGGTATTTATTCTAAACCCAAATCACTGAAGAGCTTATAGCTTGCCGATAAATTGTCCAGTTTTAGCTCACGGTGGACATATCCCTGTTGATGACCATAACTCAAGGCATCTAGGATCTGTTGAGCTTAGAGCAACACTTGCTTGTGCGCCGTTTGATCTTCAGAGTATGCAGGAGCACTTTCAGCATGGGAAGTGATGTATGTTTTGAGGGAGCATTTACGGAGCTCTAAGAAAATAAATCTTTTAACTTCTTTTTGTACTGGAATTTATTTTTGAATATCTGAGTTAGAGCAACCATAAAAGGAGTGCCAAGTACCACTGAGGTCAAGCCATGACGAACCCACACTGAAGCATTTCCTGGCCCTTTCTTTCGCGAGGTTGGTTGCTCAATTGATTCACCCTTGGAACCGCCCTCCTCTGGATTTCCAGAAAGAGCTTCTCATTCTACCTTCCTGATATTTTCTCCCATGATGTCATACTTCTTAGCGCAAAGTTGAATCAGGGCAACGTAGCTTCGGCAAAATGATGTTCCTTGTCTTCCTATTCCTGCACAACTTTCCGGGCTCGTTGGAAAATCCACCCTAATACTTTACTTTAGTTCTTCCCATGTTGGTTTAGCCTCGGGGATCTCATACCCGTACCACGTATAAAATTTCTGAGGGATGTCGTCTGATTTGAAATAAGTAAGAAGATCTTTAATAATACCTTTGATTATTTGAATTTGGCATTCACCTAGCTCGCCAAGTAGGCGATCGAGAAAGCCCTCTAGTTCAGCCATTCTATCCATCCCTCGTTTCATCTTCTTTATTTCCTTGCGTGACATGGTTGTTTTCAACCAACTACAGCTTTGACCAGGCTTCCGTGACAGGAGGTCTTCAAGCCACCCAATGAATATTTACAAGAATAATTTACACCGTAAAACTGTTTCATCAGACATGAATGACGACGAAACTAAGCAAAAGTAGTAACTGAAGAATCATTTCGCAATCAATTCCTTGCAAACTGAATCTAACGAGATCGCTCAGTTATTCTTTCTTTGGATTGTAAATGAGGTCAAAATTGCTCAAGTTTAGCTAATGAAGTGTAAGGATTATAATACATTTTTAATTTAAACAATTCTTAAATATATCAATTTTCGATTATTTCCCCCCCTAATTAATAAGCTTTGCTTTTCATACTCAAGTAGGTTAAGATACTGACCTAAACATGTCACGTTCTAGGTCATTGTGTCTTCCACTTTAACAACAGGTAAGCTTTAAGGAATGATTTTATCATCATAAAGTCTCAATGGAGCTCATAATGATAAGTTGAAAGAGTATTCTTTGCCAGTGTATGGAACACTGTCAGCTAAAACTATAAAAAATTTTGGTTATTTTGAACAAAGTTTTTGCTCACCTGGAGTAAATCGGCTGAAGACTGCTCTGCAAACAAGATTACTTAGTCCACGTGAAAGCTAATCAAATACCTCTGTGAGACGCTATACATATGTGCACACTGAGCTCTACTGGAGGAGCGATTGAGATCTGCTTCACAAGATTGAGGTCTCAAAACCTTTCAGTAAGTTAAATTTACTTTTGCTTCACTTGTTCGGCATTGTTTGCAGGAATTTGATCCCACTTGTTCAAGACAAATGATGTACACTGGGTAAATAACTTTTCGTTAATTTTTTTATACTTCTGTAGACTATTGGCTTCGCTGGATAAAATAAAAAGAAGCTGTTTTAGGATAATGAAAAGAAAATCAAAATGTAAAATACGTTCGCTGAGCTACCCAAAGCAAAAATGCATATTAACGCAAGAGAAATTACGACATACTTTGCGACTGTTCCACGTAGAATAGCTGGACGTGTCGGAGACAATTCGCCGAAAGCTTTTTTGACACGAAGCTATAGAACACAACGCTTTAATCCAGGTCAACTGAACTTGTAATTATGAACGACTTTCAAATTACAGACATTTCCACCATTTTGTGTTGTCTCGAAGTGGAACTAATCAATATCAGTTCGTTCATTCGGCCGCGAGTCGGTCCCAACAAGTATATTACCTAGAAAACAGATTCCGGGTGTTTTATCATACCTCAAGAGAAGCAGCAGCAAGAAAGGAACTGAGACTCAATAAAGAAACATTTAAACTAAAAATTTAGGTTTAATAAAAAGAGAGACGGATAACCGTAATACCATGCTATCCGAAGCAATGAAATAATACTGTATGATCTTGTGGGAAAAATACGGCTCAAGCCACAGTATTTTCTCCAACGATAGTCCAGTTGTTTGGAAGTACATTACTGTCTTAATTATTAATTCATGGTCTACGTCTAGGCAAAAAATTGAGAAAGCAATGAGAGCTCACCTTGTTCGCCTGAACTCCACCAGAATTGGAACTGTTAATCACATAGCTAAGGTAAAAGGCTTCGCGTTCAAAGTGCGAGCAACAGAACAGACGGAAGACAGATCCAGTGGCAAGAGGAGTTTTAAGAAGACGAATGACAAGTCCTCACTGCGTGATCTTATAAAAAAAATTCCCATGTGTGAAATTTAATAAAGTTTTAAACGAGCAGTTTCTCATAGAAAGTGAAGTGCCTCAAGGTTAACTCGATGCACTTTGAGCCTGTAAAGTATGGCATATTAATTAAGGAAAGGAAGCTAGGGAGGTTTAGTCATAATATAATGCTTTGTAAAAATAATGGAATAGCAAAAAATATACAAAAGTACAAACATAAAGTGTAAATATTTCAGTAACACATTATTTTTAAAAGATGTATTTAATTTTTGGAGAAGGGTATGGATCTTTCACTTTCAAAATTTTGGTTTCTTTTACTCCCATAGATACTCAATGGTTTCCTTCACCCCTCCCTCTTTCGCTTTAGTAGAAAGCCTAATAGCCTAAAACTTAGCAGATAATATGGCTACCCCACCACCACCTGATACAACATACACACATGCATAGACAACTCTTTAACCTTTTTGAAAAGTAATATGTAACACTTACCAATAATAAGTTTGCAAACTAACAGGTTTAACAGTTCAATAATAGGCCTTGAGCCAAAAATAATGGTTAATTATTTCTTGAGAAAATTATTATTTTTTTTTATTTCTCATCCAGTTTGTACATTTGATGAATGATTAATTTTGTGTCATAAGCTGTTGTTCATACAGAAAAGGTAAGAAGAGATGACTTAATATGTATGTTTGTCACTTCACTTGCAATATTCTTAGTAGGGTGTTTTGAGTCATGGTCCAGTAGCATATTCTCAAATTTTCTTGCAAAACCTTGGAAACCATAGCACCTTGTGGTACTGAAGTGATGCAGTTAGAATAGTACCAATCAATGGTTATCAGTTTTCATAGTCCTACCGTTGAAGTGTTATCCTTAACAGGAAGAAAATACAGCAAGTAATTAAACATAACGAAACTTTATTAATTGAATGTCAAGGAGATAAACTACATATAAAAAATGCTGTCTTGCTTCAGGAAGGTGAATTATGTTGATATAAAACTATATCACATACTATACCAGTTAAAGAAGGTGTCTCAATAAGTTGCTCAGGTTCAAGCAATGGTTTTTTGGAATTTTTCCAATTCGCTACATTTCAACTGTTCATCTCCTGAGGTGTCGAGATACCTTTCGGAATGCAAACTTTCAACTTAAGGTTTTCAAGCTTGTATGTTTCATTAGGAACAAGAACATTTACGATTACCCTGATGAATACTTCTACCAACAATCAAATTAGCATTTGCCATTTTAACATTTGAACTTGCCTCGCTTTCGCCTCAAAACGCCATAAACCCCCCCGGTACAAAAGAAAATTCGTGAGTGTGGGGTATAATTTTGTGAGTGATGGGTATAGCTTCGTTGCGTACGCGAGACAACAGGGAAAATTAAAATCTGAAAGAGAGAAGTGACACTGTGGGTTCCTTACTTCTTCCCCAAACTACAGACAGTTTCTTGTGTTGTTTGTGTGTACTCCAGCACTGGGCGCTGGAATCCAGGGGGTGGGGGGAGGGGGGCTCGTGAAAGTTACTTTGGAGTTAGGGCCAAGGGGTACAGTAGCCTCTGAGAAGACTTTCATCAGTCACGTTTGTTTACATTTTAATTACATTGAATTTGCTATTAATTTGACCCATTTCACTAAAAGGTTATCAAATCATTGTCACTTTTCCAAAGGCTGGAATCGGAAAACAATAGCGTCTCATTTTCGAGTTTGAACCCCAATGGACCTCCCGCAAGTTTACTTCATACAAGTGGGATTGATACCAAACAGATAAAGCTCACCTTATAACTAGGAAGACGAGTTATCAATTTGCCGTTCGTGGATGTGCAAATCTCCTTCCCTTACATCATAATTCAGTCACGCCTTGTGTTCACAAGAGTGACTCGGTAAAGATTTATCGCAGTGAACTGACTCGATGCCGGGGTGGAGGATCAATCTAGTAATTTGCTTTAAGTGCCTGCTTCCATTTTAGTTACCATTGGGATCATCCAATATGGCAACAGGCAAAGCAAAAACCATTGATGAAATTGATAATATGAAGGAAATGTTTGATGTGATGGAAGCCCTTGAAATTTCATACCCAGATTTACAGAAGTTAGACGAGATGAAAAGTCGAGCAAAGTCTGAATTTGGACAGCTTCTTAGCATTTCCCGTTGGACTGCTGGTGAGGTAAGCATTTTGTTTATCGTAGAAAGAGTCTTCATCACTTTCTAGAGCGCTATTTCTTATCTCAAATTGTTTTGAGGATGTCAAACGGTAACAGCGTTGTTTTATTTTTTGCGTTGTCAATAAACAGATATGAATTTAGCGCATGGTTTAACTCACCACTGTTTTTGTATCTGCATTTCTAAATTTTAAGTTCCATTGAAACAATCCATTACGCTTGGTATTACCGTATCGTGCAAAAGTGATGTAAACGGAATTCGGCGAATTTCGTTAATTGTTCTGGCGATCTTTCGTCGAAAGTTCGAACGAAAATTCGATCGAAAGTAAGAGGCCTGTGAAGCGACATTTCGTTTGAATAGAGGACGCTTTTTAGTTGAATTTTCGCCATGAAGCGAAAACTCGTGGCGGAAAGTGTCTCCTCGATCATTTGTGTTCGAAATTTCACTTCGAACTGACAACAGCCTTCTGCGAGTGATCAAGTTTGTTTACAGTTCATGTAAGCAACACGAAATATTTCTAAACATATTTCCAACCTTTTTCAACCACCACGACAGAGATACTTAATATTTGAGACTAAACACAGAAGACTAAAGCACTAAACACCAAAAAGTCATCACGTCCGATTCCAGGCTCGATCTGTGGATGACAACGAAAATCGGCTACATGTAAATTGTCCTAAATTTTTGCCTAAATTTTGGCATGATTTGCCAATACTTATTTTGCACTGTTCCCTCATACACTGTTCGCTTCTATAGGCAGCTTTTGAGGTCTTACCGATCGAGGTAAATTTGCCACGGAACCGGTGAGACGCAACTTTCAAATAATGCGCGTAGTACTGGAAAAGCTCACTAGTAACCCTTCCCGTTTCAACACTTTCAGTATTTCAGCTGGGTGGAGGCCTTGCTTGTGGAGGATCTTAATTTTTTAGTAGAATAATTTGAAACTTTGGCCACGATGACTAACAAAAGTAGAGTACGTAAATGATCCCAATCGCATCGACACAATTGATACACTGAGTGTTGTCATGGTTGCAAACAACATAGGTCGCGCGGAGACTCAGTCGTAGCGGGAAATTCCATGGGAGTTTTACAGAGAGCAGTACCGAACCAAAAATTCAACCAAATCTTTTTGAAAGAATGAACAATAGCAACGAATTTCCGCCCCGAATATTCGCCGCATAGAACGAATTTCCGCTCAAAATTTCGAGTCGCATTAACGCCATCAAGGAATATGTCGCCGAAAGTTCGAGCCGTTCAAAACAATACATCCCTCGAAAATTCGCGTGGAAATTGTCGTGGAAGTTTTGTTTCGGTCAAGAATTCGTCGAAAAGCCGGGAATTTCGTCGAATTTCGTCGAAAGGTGTTTGCATTACTTTTGCACAATACTGTACCATCATTAACTAATCATACGAAATTACTACAACCGTCCACGTGGTTGTGAGGTACGGAGTGCAAAATCAAAAGTAGTTTGGATAGCTTTTCAAGGGTTTGCAGTGCTAGTCGGGCCACGAAAAGAAACATGTGAAAAGGGACTTAGGAAGGAGGCCTTATCGAAGCGACAGAACATTTTAAATTGGAATTCATAACGATGTAATCCAAGAAGAACATTGGTAGAACACGAAAAAAGCCTGTAAATCATTGGCCGTCGGGCAAGTCAGTTGATATGCTTTTCGAATGTTCTTTAAACATCCCAAGTTACTTTTTTCTCACATAAAAAAGGGAAACAAGTTATTACATATATGAAATTATCATATGAAGAGAAAAATAACCGTATCACCTATTCTGTGATCTAGTCGCTGATTTTTTATTAGACCCGTTAAACTTTATCAGTAAATTAACACATAGTTACCGCAAGAAAAGGAACAACAGCGACAACGACTGAATTAGTAAATAAGGTAGCACCACAACCAGAGCGAAACCATAAGAAAGCTTTTCGCGTGCAAATTGAAGCAAAAACTTGATTCTGTTACGGTACACTGACTACTTCAAAGTGGACGACGAAAACGCGAAAGTTGCCGGTTCGTGAGTGTTTTTTTGAAAGCTTCTTCAGTATAGCGGTTCTTTGCGCAAATTCAACTCATTTAAAATTTCCCCTTCTTATGAAGTTCATAATAAATTCTTTAAAAAATCTGGTTTCGCTGTATTATGACTGATGAAGAGGAGCAAATTAAAAAAACGACATGCTGAGCTATGGGCAGAATCTCAATCGCCGTCAATTAATTTTACTCTCGATGCAGTACTTTCCTTTCATTTGAATTCTCCCATTTCTTCCATTTATATCAGTGGTTTAACTGACCCATCCATACAGTCAAAAGTGAGAGCTATAAAAAGCTGGTAAAAATTAAAATTGCAAACTCATATCGCAGACAGTAAACAAACGGAATCGTTTCGAACTCCAACCTAATGATTTTCTTCTCTATGTGGATAAGATCTTAAGGAAACTTTCGAATGAAATACTCTTTTAAGTTATTACTACTTAATAACTGAAGCAAAAAAAAAAACCCCAGAAATTTTGACTTTCTTTTAGCTCCTTCATTATTATTCAGACTATAGCGCAACCTTTCGATTGCAATTCAAACCATCGTCTCGCTTAGAAAATAAAAATTACTTTATCAGAGGGACGTTAGTATATGAATAGTCCTCTTTCTTACGCTCGCTAATGGCTTGACTACATTTTCTTGTATAAATTCTACTTTCCAATGCTTTCATTATCTTTGCGGGTGTTTTTGGAGTAATAAAACAAACTTGAACAATGGATTGATTGATCCTATGATGCGTGCCGTGTACAGTTCCTTTATGAATTACAATCATTACTCCTGGAACCCTTCAGGTATCATTCCCAGTCATGATACCAGAATCTCTTCTAAACGGTGACAATTTCACTATACAAAACAGCCATTTCTTGTATATTTACATGCGAACGTTTTGTCCTTTGGCCTTTTCTGTTTTATCAAAAATTAAAGACGAAGATGCCAAGGTTAAGGAATTCCTGCTAAGCTTTTACCGCGAGGTTGAAACGTGTTATGATGATCTAGATGACAATATTCAAACTCTGCTGAAGAAGAAAATGGGCAATGTAAAGGAGAAGATGAAAAGTAATCAAATAAAGATGAAAAAAGAAGATTACTACCTTTTAGTGGCAGGTACATTTAATTGTATCATTTCTTAAAAAAAAGGATGTTTTGGTTGGGGTTGAGAAAAGAGCCGAGAGATTTGTAATGTATTAAAGACAGTCTAAGCACCCATTTCCATGGAAAGAAAAAGCTAATCTGTTCTCAAATATCGATTGCACCCACTCCTCTCATGAAAATATTTCACGCTCCGAAGTGAAGAGTAGCCTGCTTATTATATTTTATGCCTCAGCAACAACGCAGAGGAAGAAAGCCTAATTACACAGGATTGTCCGATCTCCAAATTGTTAGTAGACCGGTGCTATTTGAATAACCATGACCACGAACCTCTTCATTTACCGATGCGTTTCATTTTAAGGTGAGACTGGATCTGGAAAAACCAGTTTGATTAATCTCATTCTTGGAGAGGAGCTCCTTCCCTTTTCTATTGTAAGCAATACGTCCACCATATGCGAGTTGAAATACGGAGAAGAACGAAGAATTGTTGCCCACTTTAAAGACAAAGACCTGGCAACGCCATTGCCCACGAAAACTTTCAACCTGGTCGAGCCTCAAACTTCTCAAAAAAGTTATCTTGAGCAGATCTCTCCATTTATCCAGAGTGGTCGGGAAAAAGGCTCGATTTACAAGAAGGTAGAACTCTATTGGCCTCACCAACTTTTGAAGGCACCATCAGTTATCATCCATATGTATACCCGTTAAGCCGTTGGGTCTCGTCGTTCATTCCGAAGCCTTTTTAGGCGTCAACGTTTTTGAAATCAAGTGTATGTAATTGTTATCACAATTAGGCACTTTCAGCTCTGTAGGAGAAAATAATCTTAGAATATCACTGGTTCGCTTTCAGAATGGAGTTGTTATTATTGACAGTCCCGGTGTTGGCGACTCTGAAATCATGGATGAAATAGTTACAGAGTATCTGCCTGAGGCCTTTGCATTTACTTACGTCATCAACTGCACAAACGCTGGAGGAGTTCAGAAAGATAGAGTAAGTCTAAATAGGATATAACTCTTTAACAATTTTAAAAAACTCTTTCATCAGCATCTGGTATCGGTGTATCCAAAACACACCGTGCTCAGCGTGGAACATTCTGAAGTAAGCCATGATCATGACTCAGAGTAAGTTAAGAAAACGTGCAACAAAACTCGCAGGATCTCTTTAAAGAAGAGATAAAGGTACTCAACTCTGATTAATAAATCTCTCATGTAGGATCAAAACAAGTTAAATTTGACTTTTTTCCAAATTTCATCAGTCATTAGACAGCAGTCGCATGAAAGATGCATTTGTATTTGATTATCACGAATGATAGATTTATAAAAATCAAAGTGACTACACATAAGAAATCATAGTGATTCAAAATAAAAGGATTACCTGAATAGAATACAACGTAACCTTAAATGGTAAATTACAGTTGGGAAAGTTGCTGGAGGGCGTCAAAGAAAAACGCAAGGAAGAAGAGTTTACATCCACCTGTGCCTTGTTCGTGTGTAACAAGTGGGACCAAGTGAAAGAAACAAAAGAAGAAAAAAAAGTGGAGAATCATGTCATCGAAAAGTTAAAGAAGTTTTATCCTCATATTGTCCCGGAGAAACAGATCGTTCAAATGTCAACGAAGAATGCCAGGATCGCCCAAAACTACGGGATCATAACCAAAAGATTTTTTTCTCTGATGAATTGTATGAGATCGATGGTTTTAAGAAGCGTCAAAGCCAGGCTGGGATTTTATTGGAGGTAAGCACCTAACTGTTAGTATGCTCATGTGGTCATATGCTCATATGCTCATATGCGTCGGTTAATGCGAGGTGAAAGGGAACAACACAACAAGTGTTCCTTTTTGCAGTGTAGAGGAAAATTGGAGAACGGGGTAAGGAGTTGTATGAAACATTTAAAAAATAGGTAACTAGCAATACATGGTCTCAACCAATGTCTAAACAAAGGTTTTTTCCCACAGATAAAAGCTTCCAAGGGGTCAGTAAAACTGTTTTTGTCTACATTTGTATCGCCTCGACAATACTCTGTTGATCCTTGGTATTGTGTTTGTTTCATTAGGTGGCTTTATGAACTTCTTTCTCAAATAGTTTACCACGCAAAGGCCCATGTGAAAAATGCTACTAGAGATCAGGAAGAAATCTTAAAATTGATTACCACTGTTCGCACTCGTTTGAGTTGCATCGAAGAAAAAAAAAATGAATACATGCAAGATCTCCGCACTCATCTGGAGGGTCGAACCAAGGATGCAGTAAAGAACCTATCCAATTATCTTTGCTCGAAAGCCATAAAATCGCGATTTACCCCGTGGACCTCGGATGAAGTACCAAAGGCAGAATCATCCTGGGAGGTGACAGAGAGCAACATCACAAAGGTTATGGAAAACCGCCTGCAAGAGATCATAAAACGTTGGGAAGAAGACAACCATGCGTTTGCAGATACGTGTGAGTCTCTTGTTCGGCACTTCAAGGAACAGTACAATCGTTTTGAAGGAGAACTCCGTATTCTACAAGGAGCTTTATCATCTGACGAGATCATGCCACAAGATCAACGTGAAGCAGGCTTCGAACTTACCATAACAGACAAGATTGCCATTTTTGTTACAAGCCCTATCTGGATTCCGATTTCTCTGATTATCTTGGTGGTTGGTGCCCCTAAGGTTGGCGTAATGGCGATTATGAGCAAGTTGAAGGACAAAGGAAGGATTAGAGATTATGATGAGAACAAGTGTGCTTTCATGAGAGATGCATCCACCGAATACTTGAGTTGTGTTACGAAAGAAGAAGCTGCGCTCATGAACTTCGTGAGGGACCAACTGAGAGATGCCGCTCTGTGTTTGAAGCAAATTGAAACCCGTATTCCAAAGCTGATTGAGGCTGACAAATTGTTGTGTGAACAACTTTTGGAGGAAAAACGGTCAAAAAAAGACGTAAAAGACACCTATGTACCGATGTTGGATGCAGCTTCTGAGATCAGAGGTCGGTTGGCCGTTTTTGGATTTGAAGAGGATCTTGAAGCCGGTATCAGCAGCGAGATGTTGGACCTAAAAGGCCAGTCAGACTGTCTGGGTCGGGGTGCTTTTGCCTCTGTTTACAGAGGAATTATGAAAACTGAGAACGGAGACGAACAAACTGTGGCGTTGAAGATTTGCACTGCGCCGCTTAAAGCAGATAATGCCTGTGACATAATAAATGAAATTGAACTTTTAAAGTAAGTATTTTAATTTTCCCTAAATTTCCATTACTCAAAATGCATTTGATACACAGACTGGCTGAAGAAGTAAAAGGAAAAAAAGCCTTATCCCAAGGGAAAGGCTCCTCAAAGCATACAGGACTTTTGCACAACCACTATTCTTGTTTCAATCACCATTAAATATGTTATTTAATTGATCCTCGGGCGTGTCATTATAAGATTACGACGGGGTAACCTAATGATTTGCACGCTGCCCTTCCCATCGAGAGGTTAGCGTTGAAGTTCTAGCCGGTACTCTGATGCTTTTTGCAGCCAGAAGTCGAAATGATATTCCAGCGTACTGTTAGGGAAACCTAACTAAGCGCTGTTCGGGAAAACTTGCGGAGGATTACCTTCCGTCTTAAGATAGCCAGAAGACTGGTGAGGGGATATTTCCTTGGGATTCCACTTGTAGAGACGATACGCGAAAACATTATCAGGATTTTTTTTCCCTTCCTATGAAATTAAAGAAAGTAAATTAGCAACATGACTTTCTACAGCTTTTCTTCTTTAATTTTGAAAATTTTCATGCACGTTTATCTTTTCAACTGAAACTTTTGCGCTTTTACTTTCTTCACCAGAAAATTAAAGCATCCCAACGTTGTCACTTTTCATGGCACGTCGCTTCTCAAGGAAGATGGCGAAACCCGGGTAATACTAGTCATGGAATACTGCACGGGAAATGTAAAGCATCGCATTTTCAGTAATCCAGAAAGAGCCCTTGCCAAGTCCATGAATGCCGATGCCAAAAGAGACGCCTATAAATGGATAAAGCAGATAGTCGCTGCCCTGTCCTTCATTCATGATCAAAGAGTCGTTCACAGAGATCTCAAGTTGGATAATATATTGGTATGAAACTGAGAGAAAAGTTATAGTTATTGGCGATATAACATACACGCCGTACTTATCGGACTAAAGTTTTCATTTGGGTACTTTAAGCAACTCTTTGGCTCTTGCAAAATCTGTCGCTGACCAAGCTTTTAATGCTAAGATTGGTCATTTCAGTGGGTAAAGTTGTTTTTCTTTTTCAGGCCTAAATATCTCTTCACTGCACGAGACACAAATAGAAAGGAAAAATTAGTTTGACCAGCATTGAGCTATTTCAGGTTTTATTCGAATTATGACAAAACAACAAATTATAATTCCTTTAACACGAGTTTCAGTGAGAAAGAATCCTCAAAAAATTCTGTTATATTGTGATGACCATGACATAATGCTAGATCATCCTACTGCGCTTTGTTTATTTATTTATTTTTCCAATTTAAAAGCTGTCAGCAACAAATACAGTGAAGATAACCGACGTTGGCGTTTCCAAGGCTGTGAACAAGATCACAGGAACTTTGGCGGGAACACCTGTTTATATGGCACCGGAAGTGTTCCACTCTCAGCCATATGACACAAAAGCAGACATATACAGCCTGGGGATAATTTTATGGGAGATGTGGTATGGGCAGCAGGCCTTCAGTGAAGTCAGTAACATACCAAGTCATGTAGCTCTCTTTGCCATGGTGGATGAGGGCCTTCGCCCAGAACATGTGAAAGGTTGTAATGAGCCCCCACGCCGTTGGAAAGAGTTGATGGAGAGTTGCTGGAACAAAAAACCAGAGGAACGCCCATCAGCTTCGCATTGCCTCAAGGAAGCTATTGAACTTCCTGGAGAAGCAGAGGAAGTCCTGTAATTTGTCGCACTGACGACTCGGACATGTAAGAAAACTTAATATTGTGAGAAAACTATATATTGCCCATGGTAAACTTGAATGTAGAAGAGGGGTTGATCAGTTTGCTTGTAGCTTAGTTTATGTCAATTCTATTTCTTAACCAAACCTAGTTTTGCTACTAGTTGAGATATTTTTAGTTAGCGGAATGACGAGATAATTAGATTTTGCTGTCCATTCTTATATCTTGATACATGCTACCCTCCACTAAGGCATCAGGAGTAATGTATTTTAATGATTACAATAATATTTTTTGGTGATATATTTCTAATCTATGTATTTATCTACTTTACCTTAGGATTCAGCTTCCGGGATCAATAATCGGAGGCCTTGACTAAGAGATTTAACACAGAAATTGCTGCTGAGAGAACTATGCATAGTTTTCACCTCCTCGCTTGAAACAGTTCGTAAATACTAGCTTCGTATTCTTAGAAGCTAATTTAAGGAAGGAGTGAATCACCATCTAAATTTAGGCAAGAAAGATGATAAGAAAATTTAATTTGTCGACGACTGTGATTTTTTTCAATGGTCAGTTAAAAAATCGAAAAGTAGACTAGATGTACCATTGCCTAATATTGCTATATTACTAGATAAAATTTATTATCACGTTCATTTGCTTTTTTGCGTCCCTCAATGAGAAGAAGCTTTCCTCCGAGTGGTGTTTTACTTGCCTTTTTTTTTTTTTTTTTTTTTTTTTTAATTTTGGGCTGTTCAGATTGCATATCGTGTGTTCATTACCAGATGAGTTCGTAATCCTCCTGTTGACTATGCAGCTCTTTTATAAGATAACAATTATGGCATTAATTTAGAATCTCAGAATCTGGTTTTTAAATATACTTTCTCGTTCATTTTTGGATATTTAAACGATTATCTCGAATTCTTGCACTATCGCACCCTCAAGTTTTCAATTTGCACGAAAAAGGAATGGTTTCCAAAATTGGCTAAACGGCCTCAGCCAACGACAATGCAACATTCTTTTAAATGTTCCTCACCCAGTAAATTTTTCCAGTTTTGGCCATTTAATGACTGACTAAACGCATCTTTTATTTCAGCTTTCAATTGTTTCACTGTCCTTAGTCTTTGACAAGGAATATCGAGCGCGTCCATGCCTTGAAGTATTTCAAATAGATCATCGATATTGCTGGTTTTTTTTGTTTTCTTTGATGTCATATTCACATCTATCCTGTTAAGCGACCACCAAAATTAATTATATCATACTCGAATAAAGACAGCGATAAAAAATTGTTCTATGCTGCATTTCCGTACAGCTACTTCATACGCTTCTCAGTCATCAGGAAAAGATAATTGTAGCAGTTTTCGTTTATGCTCGAAGCACGATAGAGACTCTTAATAGCGTGATGGCTTTTATGACTTACGATTAAAATTTAGGCCGTTTTATGGCTTACGGTTAACTTTCATTATGTTTAAGTGAAAAATTTTAACGATTAATGTTGTTTAAGACATACGGTTAAAAAACTTGTCAATTTTTACGCCTATAACAGTTAACGGTTAACCCCATTGAGACCCTCATGATAGAGGTCATCTCGTGCCTAGTGGTGTTGGCAATAAAAATGATCGTTGTTTTATTGATTTTCTGTCGTGTTCATGATAAGGTTTTACCATGAAGATGATTAAAACTATACCGTTGACAGCTGTCGTTTTTTACGCTCTGATCGTTTCGTCTTTGGAATGCGCAGGCCGAGTATTTTCAGGTTGGGAAATGATTCGATTTTTGAGCGAGCATTTTCAGAGGTATAAGACAATCATCATTTTTGTCTAAGACGGTGAAGACGGATGAAGAAACGTGCTAAAGAAGTGAATGATATTTAGATGACTGAGAAAGACGGAATTAAAAATTAGGAGAAATTTTTAAGGTGTACGATCCAAGGTACATATTGTCTAGTACACTTGACCATAAAATTTGTTTTAATTTGCACGGTTTTTTTTTGCAATTGTACTCCTCAAACCCACTTTTTATAAACTGTCAAATCTGTTTTGCCATCGATAATAAATTTATTCTTACGAGGTATTCTTTCCACTGTTAACTTTCAGTTACATTTTCAACAATATGCATTTAGATGTATTCTTCTCTATTTCTATATTTCTTTTGTGATATTTTGTACAGTACAGACAGCCTATCTCTGAGCATATTCCTCATCAAAAAAATGCGATATGTTGTTGCTTCTAAAAAGACTGTTGTACACTTTTAGTGCCACCTCAACTTCTTGGTTTCCTTTTCTTAATTAGTAGAACATCACTATACACTGTAGAAAAGGCTCTCCTTCCAACGATAGATTTGTCATCCTGGTTGCATTGTAGTTCCTTGTATGAAAAGTCTGATGTTCTTAAAAAAGTTCACTTCGAAAACTGTTATTTCAAGATTACGGGTTCATAGACACTATTTCCGTCGGGAAATACTATGGGTTAATGTCATCAATCAAACCCTTTTCGATATCCCTAACGCAATATGAGTCTCATTTACCTCACGCTACGCCGCGACAGAGGCAGAGATGTGAGCATATTTGAAAGCTGCTTGGAGCAAACAGTTTTCGATATAAAACACTAATAGAAAAGACTCCGACTGAGGTTTGCATTCTGAATTTTTTTCACGGTTCGCCTTCTGCAGATACGATGGTGTATATTTGGTGGTCAGTACTTAACCGAAAGTCATCATTTAAAACTATTCACGATGTTCAGGACGTTTCTTGACTCATATCTGGAAACGTACCTTTTTACGTTTAAACTTTAGTACCTCATTGCAATAGATCATAAGATCGTAGTATGTATAAGTGGAGGCTGTTTGCAACTTTGACCTCGGGATTGGTTTGTACGCTGACATTCATGCTTCTTTGCTGAACTACAGTTTACTTGGAAAGCATCATAGAAGCAAGTTTTCTCCAAACATACTCTGGGTAGTTAGCAAGATATATTTCGGCCCTTTGCATTTTTTGCTCGAAGGAATGCAAGGCATTTTTCCGTGATTGACCATTATTTGCTTTTCTTAAGAGTTCATTCGGAATGGTTGAATCAAAATTAAAAAGATTACATTGAAAACATATCGCGATGAAGGAACGTTAGAGGTCTCAGTCGTGGGATATCAGCAAGGAAACGTGCTGTGCTGTTTAGCCACGTGTTGTTGCTTGAGTACGTGTTAAAATATTGCAGGGAAAAGCATATTTTCAAAGAGAACTAACTGTCTTAATAACGCTTTAATACTCACGGAAAAGTTGTAACTCGCCAAACGCGGCCTCAAATATTAGGGTAAATCAAATAAACACTTGCAACCATAAATAATCCGCTCTATCTATCACGTTGAAAATGTAACTGGTGACCTGTAAAAATGGTTATTCCTAGGCAATCTTCAATGAGGCTACTTTTGAATAAAGCGATATTCTCGCCAGACGTAAACTCATCGTTCGGACATCTTCGGCAGCCTTCAGACATCTACGACAGCTTTCGGAAATCTTCGGCAGCTTTCGGGTATCTTCCTCACTCTTCGGAAGTCTTGAAATAATCCCGAATTGTTGGAAAATGGCCAAAAAAACCTCTTTGATACAATGAACATAGGCCCAACATAGATATTTCCCCTTTTAGGGCGTGGTTTGTATGTTTATGGGAAAAAATAATGTTATAACGAATTTTTTAATGTTAGTGTTAAAATGGCTAAATATTAACTGTTTAATGTTATACAGTCAAAAAAATAAGTATTTAGTGTTATCGAAGTACCCCCATTCAGACCCTCTTTAAATACTAAAAAAAAAATAGGTCATGGAATGTTCTTTTAAACAAAGGGTTTTGCGCGAATGGAAGCAGTCTGCATGTTGAGACTAGGATTGCACTGCTTGATGAAAAGCATCTCAAAGATAAGACAGTCAAATTTTCCTTGGCACTTTTTTTAGAATGCGGAATTGGCTTTCTTTGAGGAGGTTTGTATCCCCACTGGCTGTCGAAAAGTCAGTGGTTTACCGATCGCAAAGTTTTTATGTTCAACAATACGTTGATGAAGGTGTCGAGCTGTAAAGCCGACATGATCTGAATCACACAGATCACATGTAAAAAATAAATAGTAATTCTCTTTTTTGACTCGCCACAAGTCAAAAATGATTTTTTTGACCACCCCCTGTGAACAGCGATCGAAAGTGTAAATTTCAAAGGTTTTGTCCAGCGTGCAGCGACTGCAAAAATGCAGCTCACGGAATTCTATGTTGCTACAAGTTACAAGATGTATTCAGTTAGTTCACAGACAAAATATGGAAACTTCAGCTGAAATATTTTTCATACCAGCGTCATCAAAAGAGACCCTTCTTCGACCTTAATTTGCATATTAAAAATTCACTAGTTTGTACGAAAGAATTCTCAAAATGCAGGTGTCAATAGGGCTGAAAAAGCAAATCAGTGCATAGTTTATACACCAATGAGGTCACGGATTGTCTCAAATCCGCGGGTATATCTCTAGCTTCCATCCACCAACATCTTAAAACAACGCAAATCCATGTGTTTGCTCAATTGCGCTCGTGTCAAAGATCACTTGCATGATTCTGAAAATTGACCAAGATCTCCTTTTGACCGTTCAAACTTCGTTCGTTTATCTTCTACGTTGAGGATTTTAGGTTTTCATAGCAACTGAATGGAGATTAGATGCCGAATTGTCCTAAAACGTTGCGTGAACGTGATCGGTCGTAACGCTTGCACGCTTGCGTGACCTACAAAGCAGACAAAGGTGATCGGAAAAAAATCGATAATTTACGTTGAAATCTTAGGTCATGAACTACGCACAGTGTGGAGAAGATCAAAATTAAAGAATAAAATTTGGTACTCTGGTCATAACAGACATATCACAATGCTTAAAAGGTCACAAAAAAGTTAAAACAGGTTACAGTGTTAATATTTAAAATTTATTTACAAAACAACACGTATACACTCTGAAACAATTCTTGCAGTTTCTTCCGAGATTTAGTTCACGG